CCAAGTATTGATTGAGCTGAACCCATCCAAGAATATTCCATCTCACTCCTGATCAGTGCCTTGTAGATTCTAAGCAGGCATTAGAAAGTCAGGAGTGACATTCCATCTCAGCCATGCAGCCACTCTGAGGTTCTGCACGTGCTACCATTTTGACTTCTCGTTTCAGAAGTTGATGTTGCACACAGACCTCCGAGCCCTGCACACTGAGGGGTGGAAAAACAAAAGGGATTATTGTGGCAACTAAAGCCCTCCTGACCAGAACTCCTAGTTTCCGTGCTGTTGTAGCCACATATATGGCTGGTCAAGGTCAGTTTCTTATCAGTGATAAGATATTTTGCAGAAGTTGCTTAGGAGTTGAGTCTATCATTGTATAAATGGGGCTTTAGCTTTCTTCATTCCTTAGTTGGGTAAAGTACCTTCTGGAAACATTAGGTGCAAGTTTTGAAGTACAGCATAATTGGTTTTTTTTGTTTCATTTGTGATTATAACATTCTTTGCAAATAGCTATTTTTACATTAATTTTGCAGTACTTTGTACTTCCACCAAGTTTAGAAGAACGCATCATAGACTTTGGTGTGTTGAGTGCTGCAGAAGATGGCAGTGTTATTTTTGTCATTATGAATAGCAACCCAATTGAGGTAAGGTGCCATTTTTTAGATCATAATTGATTGTTTAAGAACGTGTGCCGTGTTTCATACTGTTACTAATTTTGATGTCTTGATCTCCTCAGCTGGCAGTAAAAGGCTGGTATGTAGTGGGAGACGGCCTTAGTATTGAATTGCTGATTGTTGAGAAAGGCAACAGGAGTTCAATTTCCAGCATTTCTGATTTAGAAAAATTGTCGCCAACAGAACAATCTTCTGTGAGTCTGTTTCTGATCATGTGAACATATTTCTTTAAGTATTAAGTTCATTTCAAAACTCTCTTCTGTGCATGGCATGCTTCCAATCAGGTTTTGTATTAACTGAATTCTAACAAATGGTCCGTCCTACCCAAACCCTTGACTGTCTTAATGCTTGCAAATGAATGCTTTTAGTTTATAACTGTTAGTTTTTCAATGGACTTTAACCTAAGATTTTTTTACATGTATTACAAAATCCACATGCTATTCCATGACCCATTGTTGCAGGTGCTCCTGTTAAATCCTAAAGCATGTACTTCAATTCCAGCAAATGTCTACTTTTGGCAACTGGGACTACATCTAAGTTAGATTTATGTAATGCTAAAGTTTTTTTTTTATCACATGACTTCCAAACACCATAATCTCTAATAGTCTTAGAGCTAATAATTTTTGTTCAAAGAAAATGTTATTCTTAATATCTCAATGCTTTGTCTCTAGTCGATTTTTCAAGAGGGCCAGAAATAATCCTAGATTGAAGGGGGCATTGTGGCTGACAGTTAGCAATCTTAATCAGAGTGTTGAATTTAAAATGTTGGTATGTCTTGTGATTTTTGGCAAAAGAAATGTGAAAACAGATTTTGATTTATTGACTTTATTGAATTATTTATTGAGACATGTATTCAATATAAAATAGTGAAAAGTTCATACAGTCACCATGCATTGGTGCTATTCTCAACAACTTAAATTAAAACTAATTTAACTTAAAATGGTCCTGCGTGTAACTTAACTGGTAAAAGCTAGTTCAAGATTTCACATGCATTTTGGCACACATTCTATGAATGTTTGTTTGATTATCATAATATTTCTAAAACCTGTTGTCCATGTGGTTAAACATGCTGCTCAAAAAGTATTTTTGGAAAGCTGTGTTCATTGAGTTTAACATTGTTGCATGCAGCACGGGCATGTTTTGGATATACCTCATAACTATTTAACCATGAGGGTCTGCTGAGATGCAATACGTTTCCTTTGAGTCCATTACATAATTATGCCTTGCCAGTTAATAAATTCATTGGTAAATGTTTAGTGTTTTTTTTTTTGAGGTGTTATGATTAATTTTGTTTTTGAATGGTATTGCTAATCAATTCTGAAGATTTACACCTAAATCATACAACCATTAGAAACTTTAAAGTTTGTGATGTTCTTGTTTTGCTTTGTGAACTATCTGGCTTAAATGTTTTTGTCATAGTATGGTCATATTATTGTTTGTGATAAGGTTAGTTAAATTGCTTTTTATACAAGCAAGCACATTTTTACACAATGTTGCTGAGGTAAATAAAGCTATGTGTAACTTGATATGTCACTTAAATCTGATGTAAAATCTGTCGTTAGAGAGAAGAAGGTTAAGAGGTGACTTGATAGAGACATACAAGATGATCAGAGGATTAGATAGAGTGGACAGTGGGAGCCTTTTTCCTTGGATGGTGGTGGCTAGCACAAGGGGACATAGTTTTAAATTGAGGAGTGATAGATATAGGACAGATGTCAGAGGTAGGTTCTTTACTCAGAGTAGTAAGGGCGTGGGATGCCCTGCCTGCAACAGTAGTAGACTCGCCCACTTTAAGGGCATTTAAATGGTCATTGGATAAACATATGGATGATAATGGAATAGTTTAGGTTAGATGGGCTTCAGATTGGTTTCACAGGTCGCCGCAACATTGAGGGCTGAAGGGCCTGTACTGCGCTGTTATGTTCTATGTTCTAAATTCATTATTCTACCTTGGGAGTAATTAGTTTCTAACCAAAGGTAGTTAGATCACAGTTAATGTCAAAACTAAGAAATAAGTGTTTGAAGTGCACGTGGCACAAGACTCAAAATAGAGATGCGAGGTAGAGCTCAGCTTTTATCAGCTGAGGTATTATCCCCTTAAACCATCACCATCAGCATTGTCTTCACGAACCCATCCTTAATCTAGTTTATCTAGTTCATTCAGGGTTAGAATTGAAAGAAGTGATTATCTTTTGAGAGCTTCACTGGCTTTGAGGTGATATCAAGTCTATAAGTATTTACTAATGGATAATGTATTTGTGCATTCTTCACAGGTGATATTAGCATCTGGTTATTATGCAGTGTTTAGGATGAAGTTGACTGCAAAAGAACTTGAAGGACCATATGATGGAGCAGTGCAAATCACAACAGATTATGAGGTAGTGTTTGTTTAAAAACTAAGTCTTTATTATAGATTCAGTGTTAACGTGAGTAACGAAAATACCTTTACACTAGTTTATTTTTAAAGTGCAAATTTTGTGACCATAATCTCCATGATGTTAATTATTCCTTCTATCAGAATCAACAACTTAATCTGTTAAAATCAATTTCTCGGCTGCTAACAGCCGGTCCAAATATCTTCATTTACTAGGTGAACAATTGATCTGCACCATATTGTCATCTGTTGGGACACTACTTGAGTGTCTAACACCAAACCACAGGTATAGTGTGTAGAAAAGTCAAGTAGGTATGGTGAAAGTACATGTTTAAAGTTATGCACACGTAATTCAAGCATTTGGGAAATGTTTTAACGAAGATCTGTAGCTCGGGTTGCGGTTTCGGTTGTAGGTTGGTTCGCCAAGCTGGCTGGTTTTCATGCAAGCATTTCGTCTCCCTTCTAGGTGACATAGTCAGTGCTATGTAGCTGCCGATGATGCGCAGTTGTTCTGTCCTGCTCTGAATTTATATGGTCTTGTCTGTCATGGTGGGCAGTCTTGTTTCCAGTTTTATATTGTAGTGGTATGTAGATGTACAGCGCTTCAGTGGAGGCTACGCAGCACTAACGATGTCACCTAGAAAGGAAATATTTATACGAAAACCTGTCAGCTCGAACAACTGCAAGCATCTGGGAAGCACGTCATCACAGCTGGCATGTGATACAGGGAGTGGTTGGTATTGTCCTTTGTCAGTACCAAAATGTTTCAAATTTACTGACAACACAAGGTTAGGCAGGAGAATAAATTGTGAAGATGACAAAGTCAAAAAAAAGCAGGTTAAGTGAATAGATGTGGCAAATCAAGTATAACCTGGGAATGTGTGAACTTGTATGTTTTTGGCAGCAAGAATAATTAAGATTAATATGTAAATGAAGAGCACTTGCAGGGATCTGGGTGTCCACATGCCAAAATTGCAAAAGGTTAAAATGCAGTACAGCAAGTAAATAGCAAAGCTAGTAAAATATTACTTATTACAAAATTGAATAAAAGAGTAAGAAGTTATGATTCTGTTGAGGCACTTCTGAGTCTGCATCTGGAGTACTGTGCATTATTAGTCATGATATTTAAAACTCAAATGCATTGGAGGAGTTGAGACAGTTTGGACTAATTCCTGGAATGAGTAAGTTATCTAATGAGGAAAGTTGGACAAGCTATACTTTTATCTGCTGCAGTTCAAAATACGAAGAGTTAACTTGATTGAATCTTATAAGATACAAAGGGGTCTGCATATTGCAGATGTGGGGAAGATGCTTTTTCTTTTGGCAGAATCTAGTACTAGAGGTCATAATTTAAAAATCCAGAGGCTGCCCATTTAAAAACAGGTGAGAATATGAACAAGTGTCTTTGGAACCCATTTCCTGAAAAAGTGATGGGAGCAGAGCCTTTGCAATTGTTTAAGGCACCGATACAAGCCGCGTTGTTGATCAGGGGTTTGAAAAATTATGTGGGAATGTGGATTTGACGTTAAAATGAGATCACCCATTTTATTGAATGCTAGAGCAGATTTGAGGGGCTGAATGGCCTACTCCTGATTTGTATGGTCTAGTATATTTTGGTTTATATTTGAACCAAAGCTGTAATAATGTCAGGAGTGAATAGCACGGTGGAACCTCAACTGAGTGCCAGTGAGCAATTTATTGCTGAACAAGTTCCGCTTGATAACGCTGTTGATGGCCCTTTCCATCACCTTTTATGGATGAAGCAGTAAATGACTGGGTTAATTTGTCCTACGTTCTCTGTACTGGACATAACTGGGCAATTTTAACACAACACTGACATTTAGTCAGCAGTACGAGAGCATCTTGGCCAAGGGAGCAGCAAGTTCTGGACAATGTGTTTTCGGTATTATGGCCAGAATGTTGTCAGGGTCCATTGCCTTTGCAGTATCCAGTGCTTCCAGCTGTTTCCTGCTATCACAGTGAATCAAATTGGCTGAAAACTGACTTCTGTGACGCTAGGGACCTCGGGTGGCCAAGATCACTCATTCAGCACTTACGGCTGAAGATTATGCAAATACTTCAGCCTTGTTTTGCACTAAAGTGCTGGGCACCCCATCGTTGGTGAGGACACTTGTGGAGCAGCTGCCTCCAGTGAGTTGTTTTTAATTGTCCATTACCATCCATGACTGACTGTGGAGCTTAGATGAGATCTCTTGATTGTGGAATAATTTAGTACTGTCTATTACTTGCTGCGTATGTTGTTTGGCACCCAGTTAGTCCTCTGCAACTTCACAAAGTTGACTCTTCATTTTTAGATTCTACCTAATGACTTTCCTGGCATGCAGTCCTGCACTGTTTATTGAACTAGGGTTGATCCCTTGGCTTACGGTAATCATAGAATGGAAGCTCTGCCAGGCCATGTGGTTGCAGATTGAGTTGGAGTATAATTCACCTGCTGCTGACAATCAACTATATCCCATGGATTTCTGGTCTTGGCTTGCTATAGTGCCACAAAATACACTGGCGAGTATTATTGATTTTGAAAAGTGGAATTTTGTCTCCAAAAGAACTGTGAGGTTGTTACTGGTACTGTCATGGATAGATACATCTGTGACTGGTGGATTGGTAAGAATGAGAGCAATTTTTTCTTCACCCTCTTGGTTCTCTCGCCCCTTGCCACAAACACAATTTAGCAGCTATATTCTTTAGGACTCAGCTAGCTCAGTCAGTAGTGCTGCTGAGCTATTCTTGATGGACAGTAAAGGTCCCCAGATCGGTGTAGTCTGTGCCCTTAAGTGATGTTCAACTTGCGACATACTTATTCATCAACTCAGGGGAAGTGATACATAGGAGGCTTCCTTGCTGATGTTTGATCTGAACCATGAGACTATTTTCCCTATTTCTTTCTTTTTTTTTTTTTGAAAAGCTGTTTTAGCATTTTGATACTGCCAGGTGACAGGCTTGCTGGGCCAGTTCAGAGAGCAATCAAGAGCCAGCCTTGCTGTTGTGTGCCTGGAGTTGCATGTAAGCTGGACCAGATAATGACAGAAGAATTCCTTTTCTAAAGGACATTGGTGAACAAGATGGGTTTTTGCAACAATTGACAGTGATTTCATAGTTACTGTTAGAGACTTAATTGCAAATTTATTTTGAATGCAAATTTCAACATCTCTTTCGGGATTAGAACCTGGGTCCCAGAGCATTACCAGGGTATCTGGATTGTTTATCCGGTGTCAATACCATGACATCTTTGCCAATTTGTAACTGAGCTGACTGATCGATTTCCTATCTATTCCCACCACCAGGTAGCATTTCACAGCAGGGATCTAGTGAAGAACTACTGTGAAGACAAGAATATTTATTGACTGAAGTTTAATTTGTAACAGACTGCTATATTCAGTAATCACTTTTCTGTTTGTTCTTGACTAACACTTGTTTCACTTTGATTTTTGCAGATTTTAACTATTCAAGTAAAGGCACTTATTGCTGTAGGCTCCTTGGTTTGTTCACCAAAGCATGTTGTTCTTCCAGGCTCATTTCCAGTAAGATACTCATTTTTGCTCATTTTAACATTTTAGTATTTTACTGTTCTTGCCTAAATGTTGAACAAAACAAGAATAGTTTGAGTGACCTTGAAACAAATGTTAATTCGTCTTTTGAATGATTCTTTGAGTGAGCAGAACCTGGACCTGACCTACATTGTAGTTCGATTGTTTGTTTGTGTATCTGTGATGTAAATTTATTGTGGTGTGGTAACAAGTTTTTTTTTTAAATTGTAAGTTTATGAATATTTTGTTTTACAGGGGAAAGTAGTTCATCATAGTTTAAATATAATGAGTTCCTTCTCACAGAAGGTGAAACTACAAAATATACGTCCTCTAACAGAGGATGTGCGATTCTACTACAAGAGAATGAAAAATAACAAGGATGATTTAGAATCAAAAAAGAAATCCAAGGTTTGTCATACTTCATCTTGTGTAGTGTGTATGATTTATGGTGGATGCATTTACTCAGCACATTTAGCTTGCAAATTCAAACAATAGACTTCTGATGCCACACGATAGTAAAAATAGGAAGAGAAGGATAGAGCAGATGAATACCTGACAGGAGAGAAATGTAAGAGAAGGCTTTAGATTCCTGAAGGGGCAGGTGGGACTTGTACAGGTTGAGTGAGGTGAGTTACATCTGAATAGGACTGGGACTGACATCATTCTTGGAAATTTTTCTAATGCTATTTGGATGGATTTGGATTAGATTGGCAGGATTGGAATCCTGACAACTAGTCCAAAAAGGAGAGAAGCAGAGTTGGAATTAGAAGTTAAGACACTTGAGAGTCTGAACAGTGAAAGAAACATAGACAAGTTAAGAAAGAGGTGAGGATAGCAAGCTAAATGAAATATATTTTAATGCAAAGAACCAGAGACTAAGGCACACGGAGTATGGGCCAAATGCTAGCAAATGGGACTAGATCTGGTTGGGATAACTGGTGAGCAAGGACAGATTGGACCAAAGGGCCTAATTCTGTGCTGTATGATGTAGCTATGGCCAAGACTCAGTTGAAAGATGGGCAGGATTGGCAGTTCAGCATTCCAGGTTGTAGGGTTTTCAGTTGAGATAGAGGAATAGAAGAGGAGGGATGGTGCAGTGTTGATCAAGGAATCATTTATAGCAGTCAGAAGGAATGATATCTTGGAAGGATCATCAAATGAGGCTGAAACAAAAACAGAAACTGCTGGAAAAACTCAGCAGGTCTTGCACCATCTGTGGGGACGTAACAGTTACTGTTTTAGGTCCAGTGACCAGTCTTCAGAAACGGCATCAAAACTTTCCTACAAGGATGTCAGGCCTGTTCCTGTTCAGATGTAACCTGCTTAATCTGTACAAATCCCATCTGCCTAGAAACTGTACCAAATGCTTCAAGAATCTAAAGCTCTTTGTTGCACTGTCTCTCTCCTTCCACACACTTATCTGCTCAATCTATTGCTATTTGGAGATGAATCCGAGCAGGTGGAAGGTGTAAGATAGCATTTTAGAGGTGATAACTATAAATTCAGTTATCCTCCAGATGAGGTTCATTGGGAACCAGAGAGTTAGTGTGTGGATCCGGAAATCATGGGCACAGCCTCAGTGCAGACTTTGCATTGGCCTTCACCAAAGGAAAAGGACAATGCGAGTGTAGAAGTTAAGGTGGTAGATTTTGAATTAGAAGAAATTAATATAGAGAGAACTGGTGTGAAGGTTTAGCAGCCTTGAAAGTGAATAAATCTGCAAGCACAGATGAGATGTATCTCAAGGTTATTAAGGGAAGTAAGGGATGAGATAATCGGAGACACAAGCAATAATTTTTAAATCCTGTCTGACCACAAGCAAGATGCCAGAGAACTGGAGACTGTGTGTTAACTTTGTTCCATTATTTAAAAAAGGGAGGAAGGGATAGGCAAGGAAATTAGACTAATTGACCTGTGGTGATGGGAAAGATTTTTTTTAAAAGAAAAAAATTGAGGCACAGAATATATTTGTACTTGGAGACACCGATTAATCAGGGGCAGCCAGCATGGGTTTATGTGAAGGTCACATTTATGACAAATTTGATTGAATTTTTTTAGGCACCAGGAGTATTGAGAAGGGTATTGCATTTGATGTGGTTTGTGGAATTTAGAAAGGTTTTTGATGGGGGCCCTCATAGCAGACTGATCAAGGATGTAAGAGCCCATGGGAATGCCAGACAAATTGGCTGAGAGGTAGGAAGCAGAGAGTGATGGTAGAAGGTGTTTTTCTATGACTGGAAGTCTGTTACCAGTGGGGTACTACAGGACTTGGTACTGGGCCCTTGTTTGTGGTGCACAATAATGTTATGGACTTGATTGTAGTGGATATGATCAAGACATTTCCAGATGATACTAACATTGGTAGATACTGATAGTAAATACTGCAGAAGATCACTAAACCGCAGGAGGAGCGCAACAGACTGGTCAACTGAGCAGAGCAGTGGCAAATGGAATTCAACCCAGAGAAGTAAGGTATAAATTTGGAGGACTATTAAGGTAAGGGACTACACTGAATGTTAGGACCCTGGAAAGTACTGAAGATCAGAGAGACTTTGAAGTACATATCCACAGATCTCTGTATAGAGGTAGAGAGTATAAAAGCAAGGAAGTGATGCTACATCGCTACAAATCACTGGTCAGATAACACTTGGAGTATTACGTTCAGTTTTAGACAACTTATTTAAGGAAAGAAGCAGTACAGGTAGATCAGATGGTTATGAAGGCATTTGGGTTACTTGCCTTTAATAATTAAGATATCGAATAAATGAACAGGAAGTTTATGCTGGAACTGTATAAAATAGTGGTTAGGCCACACCTGCAGTACTTCATGCAGCTCTGTTCACCACGTTATAGGAAGGATGTAATTGACTAGGAAGAGTGCAGAGGAAATTTCCCAGGCTGCTGCTTGGGCTGGAGGACCTGAGCTATGAAGAAAGATTGGATAGGCTAGGGTTTTCTTTGGAACAGTAAAGCTTGAGGTGGGTCCTGATAGAGGTAAATTTGGGGGGCCTGGATAAGGCGGATAGAAGGGTGGATGAAACAATGTTTTTAATGGTGTTGGGAGTCTGAAATGTACCTCCTGATAGAATGGTTAAAAGACTAATACTTGAGCAGTAACTATTCACTTGAGTTGCCATAGCCACCGGGGCTATAAACCAAGAGCTGGAAAATAGGATTAGTGTAATCAGACTTTTCTTTTTTGGGGTCAGTGCAGACGTGGGCCGACTGGCCACTTTTTCTGTGCTATAAATTTCTACATCTAAGAAGCATTTACCTAACTCTGTATGTTTTAAACTTCTGCAGTGCAAAGTCAAACATTGGTTGCTTTGGTACAACTTAAATATTGACCTGATTTGTTAATTATGTTTTATCCTTTTTTGCAGATAGCAAATATTTATTTTGACGCTAGCTTACAATGTGGGGATTATTGTTATGTGGGATTGCCTTTTTTATCTAAATGTAAGTAACTGTAATTAAACACTGTAATTTCATCAAAAAAATGTACTTGTGGCAAATACAAGTGTTTTTTTGCATTGAGTTTTTATTTGTCTCCCACCTTTTCCCAGCGGAGTTAAGATTGCAGCATAGTCTCGCAATGCAAGATGATGCATGGGATGCAGACTGGGATCTGTATAAGAATTTGTACAAAAAATGGACAGAACTTAAAGAAAACTCAGGGCACAAGTGAGTTTGTTAACCATTTTAGTGCTGAAAGCATTGTTTTAATAAAGACGCCTGTTATTGATGGATTGGGTAGCACTGTGTTCCCACTGTCCTTTAATCAATTACTCTGGAACTTTTTGATTTCATATTTGGCCCATTAATTAATTTCTTTTGTCGAGTGTCCTAACTGAAATGAAATTGGATTCTATTAGCCACTTTCTTGGATGGGGTATGAGTTTACTGTGTGCAATTATTTAATGTGTCTGGTCCTGCAAGCACCTAATGTAGGAATCATTAGAATTTTACAGTACAGGAAGCCATTCGCACCATCTTGTCTGTACTGGCTCCTGAAAGAGCTACCCAGCCATTCCCATTCTCCAGCCCTATCACCGTAGCCTTCTAAATTCATGACTTTCAAACCTCCAATTGCATTTGTGTCCGCCACTCTGCAGGCAATACATTCCAAATCCTAACAATTGTGTGAATAAAGAAGTTTCTCTCACTCCTAGCGCTCTCACTGACAGTTTTGAAGTTGTGACTCCGTACTCTCTGACATACCAACTAGTGAAAACAGGATATCCCATCTCATAATTTTGAACACATCAGTAAGGTTACCTTTTAATCTTCTCTGCTCCAAGGCAAATAAGGCCAATATCTCTGTTTTTCCTTGTATCTAAAATCCCTCCATCCTGTTATCATTCTTGTAGTTCTCCTTTTGTTCGTTCTCCAGGGCTTTAATATCTTTCCTTAAATAAGGTGTCTAGAACTGAACATAATACTCCAAATGTTATCTGACCAGTGATTTTTGTAGCGATGTAGCATCACTTCCTTGCTCTTATACTCTCTGCCTCTATAAACCCATGGATCCTATAAGCTGCCTTAACAACTTTTTCAACTTCTCTGGCCACCACGCAGAATTATGCACGTGAACCCAAAGCCTGTCTGCTGTTGTACTCCCCTCAAAGTTGTACCATTTGAGTCTGTGTTGTCTTTTTCTTTTTTCCTAGTAAAATACATTACCTCATATTTCTCTTCACTTGAAATTCATCTGCCAGGTGTCTGCCCATTTGGCCATTTTTCCAGTGTTCCTCTGAAGCTGTTCTGTGTCATTCTACAATTCTGTTCTCCCTAGCTAAGTATTAAATGCATATTTAGAGATTTTGCCCTCAACACCCATCCCCCAAATTGTTTGTAAATCAGAAAAAGCCAACACTGTTCCTTGGAGAGCACCACTTTAAACTTATCTCTAGTGTGAGAAATGCCCATCTATACCTACCTAAAGAATGGTGTCTAGACTTTGGAACTAATATATTTATGAATAAAATTGCAGAGAATTTAACATCATATCAAAGCTGCTAATTTGTTGTCTTGATGCTGATTTAAGCTTTTAAAACTTCACATCTGTAGCAGCAGCAACCTGATGATAAGCTCCTAACTGATTTAAGGTCAAGTGTGAGGCGCTAAGAATAATGCCAAACCATTAGATAGAGGTGGTGAGCTGAAGGTAGTTTGGATTCAAAGCACAGTGGAACTACAGTGATTAAATCTATATCAAAGTTGCAGAATTAATTTTTAAGCATTCAAATCTATAATACTTTATTCAAGGTTAATATGTTCCCGGCTGAAATTAAATGGAATTTAAACATAGCAATTAATAGCAACTGAGGGTTAGCTCAGTTGGCCGGATGGCTGTTGTGCGACGCAGAGTAATGCCAACAGTGCAGGTGCAGCTCCCGTACTGGCTGAGCTTACCATAAAGGTAATGACTTCTCAACCTTGCCCCTTGCTTGACATCAAGTGACCCTCTGGTTAAACCACCACTAGTCATCTCACTAATGAGAAAGCAACTCTATCTTCTGGGACTGTGGTGACTTTTACTTTTAATAGCAAATGAGTTTTATTTTTAGAACCGTATGGATATCTGTCCTCTGTCATGTCTCTTGTGTCTGGCTCACAGCCCTGTCAATAAGACTTGGCTCAGTTGCTAAACAAGGCAGTGTTGCTGTAGAGATAACAAAGTGTGGAGCTGGAGGAACACAGGCCAGGCAGCATCAGAAGAGCTGGAAAGTTGACGTTTTGGGTCGGGACCCTTCTTCAGAAAATACGTCAACTTTCCTGTTCCTCTGTTGCCTGGCCTGCTGTATTCTTCCAGTTCCACACTTTGTTATTGCTGACCTCAGCATCTGCAGTTCTTGCTATCTGTGCCTGCAGATATGTCTGTATAGCTGTGGCAATCACATAATATGTTATGTAAAACAGTGGATCAACTACTGCAGAGAGTAAAATTCTTGGAGTGGATTCACTTCATTTAAATTTTAGCTTGCACTGTCTGGGACATAGCAAATGTCACATTGCTGTGTTGTACAGTGCTTTAACTACATGTTGCAATATTCTAAATGAAGCTGCATTGTTCTAGTTTTTTAATGAAAACGTTTAATGAAGGCATGAATTTTTGACTAGTTGTCTTTTTTTTTTGTTTTAAGGGTTGATGTTGTCTTTGAAGTAGATACAGACCTACAGAAAAATGTTCAAGCTGTAGTAACATCAGAGCTTATGTGGCCATCATTGATCAATACAACACGAGATTTACTTTTCCCACTCACAAACACAAATAACACATCAGTAAGTATTGATTTGTAAATTTAAATTTAAAAAATAAATTTTAAAAATGGAATCATTTTTGAATGGCTTTAAAAAGTTGCCATGCAGTAATTTGCATTCCTAACTATTGTTTTCACACTTTCTTTTTCCATAGGAAAAAGAACTAATTTTAGAAAATCCAGCAGATGTACCTGTGTTTGTCCAATTACTTCCTTTAGCATTGTATCCTAATCCTTCACTTGTTGCAGATGTGTTAATGGAAAGGTGCGTATTTGCTTTTTAACTTTATTACTTTCCACTGTTTAACAATGGGAGTAGATAGGATTGGTTATATCTCATTCTACTCCCAGCACCTCATACTACGTAGCCTTCAAGAGAAGGAAATCTAGTCAAACATTATCTTTCTCTCTTTCCCTTACTCTTTGAAGTACCTTTTTAAAATATAACTTACTTTCCCTAATCAACCTGCTCAGAGATGTTATTACACACCTCTGGAGTAGATGGGACTTGAATCCATGCCTCACGGTCCAAGGGTAGGGAACTACCACTATTCCACAGGAGGTCCCTCAAACAGGAGAATATTCACTATCATATTCCAGCTGTGCTCAGTTTGCTGGAGTTTAAGCTGGTGATTGTCTTGGTCTGTGTAAGTCAACTTCTCTAATTTATCAGTTAAGCCTTCAGGAAATGTATTTCCAATTCCACATGGCTCTTAGGTTGAGAGGAAGCTTCCTTGATAATAGGATTTTCGGCTAGTGCCATAGTTGCACTGGGGCTGGTACAAATGTACTGTGCAAGGTTTTCTAGTCTACCTGACTGAAGTTTTCTATAGTGAAAAGACACAGAAATCCAACTTTTATAAAAGTGGATTAATTCTGGTATCAGGTCTGGGACTAAAAAGCTTGTAGTGTGAGAGCTATGAGTTTTTTAGTAGCTATTCTATTGCTGTTCGGTTTTTTTGTAATTCTGAATTATTGAATCGCAAGCAACAGTATCTAAGTAACAAATGCAGAAGTTGCTGGCAAAGCTCAGCAGGTCTGGCAGCATCTGAAGAGAAATAAGTTAAGGTTTCAGGTCAGGTGACCCTTCGTATCTAAGAAATGGTTGCTTATGGAAAAAGAGCATTCCAGAATAAAAAAATATTTTAATTGGATGGTTAATTTCAAGGAAATGCAAACAGATCTACCTCTGACATCTTGGAATCAAAGAACGACCAGCAGAACTGTAACAGCATATTGGGCTAGCTTTAGAGTCAAGGTATTTTCCCACATGGAAGAAGATAGGATAGACCACACCAGACCCCCCTCGGTGATGAGAAAACTGGAGAGTGAAATGAAGCAGAAAAAGGTTGAGTATGGCAGACGTCAGGTTGAAGTTAAAAGTGATGACCAGTCTAAGTATTAAAGGTTCAGAAGGAAATGAGAGGGGGAATCACCATGAAGAAACTGCAAATACGTATAGACATCTAAATAATAAAATTGTATCAGAGATAGTAGGAATTGCAGATGCTGGGGAATCTGAGATAACCAGGTGTACAGCTGGATGAACAGAGCAGGCCGAGCAGCATCAGAGGAGCAGGAAGGCTGACGTTTCGGGCCCGAAGGGTCTAGGCCTGAAACATCAGTCTTCCTGCTCCTCTGATGCTGCTTGGCCTGCTGTGTTCATCCAGCTCTGCACCTGGTTATCTTAAATAATAAAATTGTCATGAATTATACAGTATAGGTAGTTCTGCTATAACGTGTTTCATTCATGCGAATTGGCTGTACTGCAATTGAATAGTGGACGTTGTTTGGATAATGCAAGCTTTCTGCTGTACAGAGTGTTTTTTCGTAGCAATTTCCCCATAACGCGATTTTCTATGGTGTCTTTCTACAGTACGATTTCCTGTAGCGCGAGGTCACACAAGAACGCAACTATCATGTTATAGGAGAACTACCTGTACTGTAGAGGCCCTTCTATCCATCATATCTGCATTTACTGAAACTAGTTCCCCTTTCTAGAAATTGATCCGTAGCTTTGAATGTTATGACATTTCAAGTGCTTATTCGAATAATTTTCAAAAGGTAAGGTTTTCCACCTCGATACCGTCCCAGGCAGTGCATTCCAGATTCTCTCAACCCTCTAGGTGAAAAGTTTTCTTCAAATCGCCTCTAAATTTCTTGACTTTTTCACTTCTTTTTTTTTTTAAATTCATGCACCCTTGTTATTGACCCTTCAACTAGGGGAATAGCTGCTTCCTATTAATCCTGTCCATGCCCCTCATAATTTGTGTCTCAATCAGGCCCCCTTTCAGCATTCTCAGCTGTAAAGAAAACAGTCCGAGTTTCTACAGCTTCTCTTCATAGCTAAACTGCTCCATCCCAGCAACAAGCTGGTGAGCCTCCTCTGCAGAGGAGGGGTATGAGTGACTTTGTTAGGTGACTAACTGAGAAGTCGGACTCTTCTCCAAGGAGAAAAGAGAAGATTAGGAGGAATTATAACAGATATCTGAAACTAGTCTGCTAGAGACATACCATTTCCATTGGCAGAAGGATTTGAGGAGCAGAGGATGTATTTGGCTACATGAGGAAAAACCTTGATGCAGTGAGTAAATTGGCTCTGAAATGCACTGTGACTCCAAAAATAGATTCGGTTGTGATGTTTGAGGAGATTTGGATAAGCACCTGAAGAGGGAAAATTACCTGGTAATGAGAAGAGGAAGAGAATGGGATAGCTGAGTTGAACTTACAAAATATCATTATGGGCATGACCAGTTACAGGACTGCCTTTTGCTTTTTGTAATCAATCCATGAATCTAGATTGTGTGCTTTTAAAAACAATTGTAAATTATGATGCTACCTCTGGGTGGGTATATTGCTACTTTTCTTTTGAAGAATAGTCAACTCCTTTTTAAAGGTTTAGGAAAGGAAACATTTACATCATTGCATGAATATGTTGAGATGCGAAAACAACAATCTGTATAACCTTTTTTGATCTGCATTATTTTCAGTACCAAATAAGTTTGAGTTTGGCATTAGTATGCTATGGATAACAAAAACCAATCATTTTGCAACGTGGCATGAGGAAGGAAACTCCTAAAAGGCTAGCTTTCCCTGTCAGTTCATTGTTACTAGTTAGTTCTGACCCGCAACTGACTTGATAGTGTATAATAAATCAGCTACATTATTACAAATGAATGTGCAACCACTTCCAAACTGGATTCTTGAAGATCTTTTGACATCAATTTCAAATTGTGATAGTGATCAAGTCAGTGATCCTAATTATTAGCCATGGGTATCTGATCTATTGTATATAATTCAGGTAAAATATTTCACATAGGCTGGTTAGTGATATGGAAGGTTTAGTAAAAATAGCTTATACATTTTCCATAACTTTCTTTGTTTAATTTCAGGCTTCACTTGGGCAAACATGCAAATCTGGACACACAAACCTTTGAATTTAAAATTGTCAGCAACCATGTAAGTAAAATGTTTTTCCTTTCGAGGAGAAGAACAAATGGCTCCATTTGTGGGTTCAGTATGAGCTTGAGAGATTCCTATTACATTGGGTTGCATTGTGGACTTTGTGACTTCAGTAACTGATATAAGAACTTGAAATTTGATGGAAGAGAAAGAGCATTGCTCATCTATATGATTGTATGCATATATACTCTTAATAGGGATGTGTTGGTCTTGATAGAATCCCCAGCAGAAAATCACTTTCTACAACAAAAAACTTTGAATCAGTTGTTATGTCTTATTTAAATTTAAAAGTTTATTTCATCTATTTTTCTTCTAAATTGTTTCTAGACATCGTCCATCAAAACTTCTTCAGGATTTGTGGAAGGTTATGCACGACAGTCTGTGCTAAATATAATTCTGAGATCTGGTGAAAAAAGATCTATGACCGTGAAGTTTACTCCAATTCACAACAGAACTGTGATGTCCTTAATAATTGTAAGGTGTGTTTCTGGTCATGTATTGACTTCTGATGCACTGACTGAAGATTATTTCTCTGTTTTCTTCATTTGTAGAAGATTATCAAATACATTTCTTATCTTAAAAATACCAAATTAGATGAGATTTAAATAACATGCACTGAGTTTAGACACCCTTTTCTAATCTGGTCAACTCTTCAGGCTTGCTGACTATTGAGTTAGGAAAATTTTAACTAATGAAGCTTATGTTACTGATAATTAATTCAGAACTTTGATCTGTGATTGTTTTGTCACCTAACTTTGTTTCTGCAGAAACAATCTGACAGTAGTGGATGCAGTTGTGGTACAAGGACAGGGAACGACTGAGAGCCTGAAGGTAGCAGGGAAGCATCCTGGTCCTGGAAGTTCATTACGTTTCAAAATTAATGAAGCTTTGCTTAAAGACTGTTCAGATAGTAAGTAATTCAACACTGAAGAAAGTATATAAAAAGGAAATACCGAGTGTGTAGAGTGTGCTGGTTAGCTCAATTGAATAGATGGCCAGTGTTAATGGCAGATTAACGGCAGCACAAGGTTTGATCTGGAGTCTGGCTGAAGTAAACTCCTGGGTCTGCCTCCTTTCCCTACCCATAGTAAAATAAAGCAATGGTGATTTGCATTTCGGCAAATGATTTCTAAAGGCTTGCCTTCAGGCCAAGACTTCAAAGAGGAGGGTGTAACAAAAAACCAATAACAGCCAGTGAGACAAATGGTCAGTTTTATTGATGCTGCTAGAAATGATTAGAAAATGGAGCAATAGGATATTTTTCTGCTCTTATCGTTTGGCTAAGTAGACAGAGGCCAAAGTTTAATGTCTCATTGTAATAGGTTCTCGAACCTTGCTCACACCTGGGTGATTCTGTTTGAATTCAGTTGTAAAAATAAATCCCTCTTTTTGTAGTAATATTGGGGGAAAACCAAAGTAAGGAGGATTATAGGTTATGAATTTTAACAGTTTGACAAATTATTTATCGTCGCTGTACAATATTACAAGTAATTTGGTTATTTCAAAGGGAGAGGAGGAGGCTGAGCATGCACCTTGAAGTTTGTCACAATGGCACTGCACCATTAGATGAATTGTGAAACCTCTGAGAAAAATGACAGCAATGGAACAAGAAGGCAGCCCCACGCCACCTTTTTTCAAAGGCTGTTAAGGATGAGCAAAAATGCAGCCTAGCTAATTATGTCCCATGAAAATCTTTTTGAAATGTGTATTGTTCATATTGAAACAATAAGCGCGGATCTGAAAATCCCAGGTTCAACCTTTTGACCTTGTGCTTAATTGCATTGTACCTAACTTCAGTAGATGCCATAATTAGTCCTGTACCAATGGCTTTGAAGCAATTGAGAGTGATAGCCATTGACACTAAGGCTGCACTTGACAATATGGCATCTAAAAGCTGTAGCAAAACTGGAGTTGGTGGGAATTGGGGCAAATTCTTCACTGCTTACAGTAATACCTGGCACAATGGAAGATGTGTGGTTGTTAGAGATCAGTCATCTCAGCTACAGACATCTCTGCAGCAGTTCCTCAGGGTAGTGTGCCAGCCCTAACCATTTTCAGCTTGCTTTATTCATGACTTTCCTTCACTTATGACTTCATAAGTGGAGATGGTTGCTGTGCAATGTTCAGTACTATTTGTAACACCTCATACTGATGTAGTGCATGTCTAAATGCAGTAAAATCTGAACAATACCTGGGTTTGGGCTGGCAAATCGCAGGTAACATTTGTAGCATACAAATGGCAGGCAATGATCATCTCCAACAAAAGAGAATCTAACCATCTATTAATTAACTAACCTATACCTGTCCAAGTGACTGTTGCTTTGTCCCAGATTATCATTGTTTAAAAAGCAGTCAAAGCCAAATAGAATGGCCTAAAGTTGCTTAGTTTATCCTTGCACTTCCTTTCTGAGAGTTTAAAGCCAGTATCTCCACTGTCCATATCCTGAGGGTTATCGTTGACCGGAAACTGAACTGGATTAGCTGCATAAATATAATGGTTTGGAAGAACAGGTCAGAGGCTAGGAATTCTGCAGCAAGGAGCTCACCCTGACTCACCAAGCCCTGGCCACTATCTGCAAGGCACAGGTCAGGAGGGTAATCCAACTTGCCTAGATGGGTGCAGCTCCAACAACATTCTAGAAGCTTGACACTATCCAGGACAAAGTAGCCTGCACGAATGGTACCATGTGCATGCCCACCAGTACTGGTGCTCAATACCAGCAGTGCATGCCATCTGAAAGATACACTGCAGAAATTCATTCCAAATCCACGACCATTTCCATCTATAAGGACAAGGGCAGCAGGTACTTGGGGAAACCAGCAGCTGAAATTTTCCCTCCAAGCCACTCACCATCCTAATTTGGGAATGCATCACCATTCCTTTGTGTCACTGGGTCAAAATCCTGAAACTCCCCTCTCAGTATTGTGGGTTACCTACACCAAATGATTGTAGCGGTTCAAAAAGGCAGAGCACCACCACCTTCTCCAGGGCATCTAGAACATAGAACATAGAACATTACAGCGCAGTACAGGCCCTTCGGCCCTCAATGTTGCGCCGACCTGTGAAACCAATCTGAAGCCCATCTAACCTAAACTATTCCATTATCATCCATATCTTTATCCAATGACCATTTAAATGCCCTTAAAGTTGGCGAGTCAACTATTTTTGCAGGCAAGGCATTCCACGCCCTTACTACTCTGAGTAAAGAACAATAGAGACGAAGAATAAATGCTGGCCCAGCCAACAATGCCCTCATCCTATGAATGATTAAAAAGAACTTCAGGTCCAGACTCTACAGTATTCATTGCTGCGGGAAATGATATAAATTTGTCAAAGGTGGGATGTAGCACAAAGCCACCCTCAGTTGTTTGCATCATTGACCTGAACTTGTCTCAAGCGATTCAATGAGCTATCCAATGGGTTGCAAGCAATACCCTAGAAAGAATCACTGCTCCCAATAATGAATGGGGAGATAATGTAAACATGAAATACATGTTTACATATTTCATTGAAAACTAATTCACTTTTTAAAATTACAGAAATGAAAATGAAAGAGCCAAACTTCACATTGAAGAGAGTTTTTAAAGTAGAAAATACAGGACAACTTCCAGTTCTTGTCAAGTCTATGGAAATTAGTGGATACATCTGTGAAGGATATGGCTTCAAAGTTGTAAACTGTCAAGAGTTTGCACTAAAACCGAATGCCTCTAAAGACATTATTATATTGTGAGTCCTTCTGTTTATTTTGGTTTGGTTTTATTTCGGCTCTTTTGGAGGGCTGTTCAACCCACACATCCTTGACAATACTACAGCATATTTAATTTGGAAATGTAATTTCTTTTCCTAAGGGAGCTCTAGGTCGATGGACTGATTCAATGAGCTGCTTTCATTATTGAGGTTTAAGAACTTAATGTTGCCTACTTACAATGCATTTTTCAAACACACATCTGCAACCCTATAATAAAATAGTCATTATTATAACCAGCAGCTAACTTTTTTTTTGTGAAGACGCAGATCATAGGAGAGGCGCTTTTAAAAAAGAAAGCGTTTTGCTATCAGTCAGCATAATGAAATAACAGCCATAAATCTGTGAACATCTTAACAGGTGACTAAAATCGTTCTATCGTTTACATTATTGAAGTGTACCTAGATCTGCATGACTAAAGGATGCATTTGTGATGCTTTAGTCTTTTAATGTTAATTTTTAGTGTTAAATAGCTTTATGGTCATGATCTGTATTGTACCTGATGTTTTTATTTTCAGGTTTACACCAGATTTCACTGCCTCCAGAGTTATCCGTGAACTAAGATTTATCACAGCAGGAGGCTCCCAATTTGTTTTCATATTAAATGCATCACTTCCTTATCATATGTTGGCAACATGTGCAGAGGCCCTACCTAGACCTAACTGGGAGCTGGGACTGTATGTGATCATCTCAGGAATAATGAGGTATCTTTGCTTATATACGTACCTTGATATTTTATTTGTTAACTGCTTAATTGGTGAAATCCCTCACCATATTTTCTAAACAAAGCAAATGAGGAATCTACATCTCTGGAAGTTCTGCTTGCTCAATAGAGGGGCACCCCATTACATAAGGACAAAGAACTCTAGTACAATTTTGCAGAGTGAAGACTTTTGGAATGTGTACAATCAAATGGTGTACGGAGTAAGATCTCTGCTGCTTACCTATCAAAAGATGTTTCAGGGCAATTTGAAGTAGAGTTTAAAGAATATCACCTTCAAGTGATAGTCTTGCCACATAGATCAGCTAGTCTCGTTTACAAATGGAGCTATGACCTGATGGACTGTCTGGTTCAAGCATCAACATGAGATTGACCTTGACTTTGTCTGAATGGTCTTTATCTGTTTTGTCATCTTGAAGACACCAAGATTCTAAGTGGAGTCTGTTTATGTCTGCCCCACATTTGGAAGCTTTCTTGCTATTTGGTTAATAAGTATTTTAAAAAGCATGAATATGAACACTGAAAATATAATAGGTGCTAAAATGACTTCTTTCTGAGCAGTATAGAGCAGTCCTTAGTGACTCTGGTTTTTCAAACTAAAATTCAAATATCTGCGGAAAGTGTATTGAAAAGGAGTTAGTTTGCAATGTGTTTCATTATTTAGTTTGTAATAATTCATTCCTTTTCCAGTGTTTTGTTCCTTTTGGTGATTGGAACAGCTTATTTAGAAGCTCAAGGAATATGGGGGCCCTTCAGAAGGCGTCTGTCTTTGGAGGGGTCCAATCCTCCCCTTGACTTGGGTAGGACATTTGATCTCAGGAGAATAGTTGGTATTTCATCAGATGGAAAGTAAGTATAATACTCTTGGCTTGAATTTGTTTTTCATTTGGAGCTTTTGGAATATATTACTTGCATTGATCTGATTGCACCTTTTATTAGAGGCAACATTGTACCCACCGCCCCCCCCCCGCCCAATCTATACTACTTGGCTTTATGTTGGTTGTTTTGAGTGTGGGAATTGCTGTGATATCAGGGGTGATATGCTATGCAACACCATGTGGTCTTTGCTTTGAGGATTAATTTGAGTTTTGTCCTGTCAGATGAGCAAAGTGTCATAATATATTTTCATTGGTGGCATGCATGTTAAAATAATCAGACTGCCAAAGTCATCTTTGTGAAACCTTTTTAGACTCCTTCATCCTACAAGGGTCCGATTATCCTAGAACATAGAAACATAAGAATTGCGAGGCAAGAAAAGACTACCACCTTGGTAGTCACATAATACAACAATAATGAAGTTGTTGATTAATCATGGCAATCTCTGTCAATTAGTCTGCAACAGACACAGAAATGAGGTGAGAATCACCAGAGATGGAAATGTTAGGAGCCATGAGTGCAAATTCATTGATTTCTCTCAAGTGAGCTATATTTTACCATATGTCTCCTATACTTATCCCAAAGTATTCTCTGAATAATGAATCTAATATGCATATGAAGTAAGCATACCATCTACTTTCACTTTTCTTCCTACAAAGCCCTGCACATAAGTTTGTTGATTGCTCTAAGTAATGTTTAATCAGATTAGTTTTGAATTTAACTTCCTTTAAGTGTAAGCTGTAGTCTAATTCTGACAGGAACATGTTTGAACAAATAACAAGATTGGGGACGTGGGTGTTTTTTTTTTTAAACCAGTACTTGATCCCATTGTACTGTTTAAAATTTGATCAAGTATTATTCCCTCCTCCTTTCTTGTACTTACTTCTTGTGCATCTGAAGTTTTAAACTTGTGCAGTATTTATTCTGCAGCAGTAGGAGCCTGATGGTGGGCAGATGAGAGAACATGCCCACATTGTTCTTGTCACTAGATAACCAAATGTTATTGGTTCTGTACATTTGCATCCACATTTGTTAGCCATGCCATTCTCCAATAGGGTTGATGGGCTTTTTGACTGTGCTTCATGCTCAAACGTTCAACACTGAACTTTTTTTTTTGTATCCATGATACAAGCCTATTTTGCGGTGTTAAAATCTGTTAATAAACACTTGCAAAGTATTTTTAATCTTGTGTAGTTGATGGTTCCGTAGTAATAGTTGCATGACCTTAGCAGTAGTATCTTACAATAAATTCTACTTGTACAATTGATTTTATTACTGCTTTGGTTTTAATGCACCAATGACATACTGAGTAATCTGTTTGTGCTCAAATATAGATTTTGGTTAAGTAAAACAACCTAAAGTCCTTTAATATCTATTTTTTTTATTGTCTTCAGTTTAAATGCACTTGGATCAGATTCAAATCACAATTCTTCAAGAGGAGTATTTGGAGGAGGTGGTTCTTCTAGACCCAGTGCAGCCAACCACAAGCAGTTCTCTGCTGCATCACAGTTGCACAGTAACAGAAACTCTTTAGAATTTGAAAATCCAAAACTAAAAAACAATTTTGCAAATAACTCAAATAGCACTGGTAGAACATCTACCCCAACAGTATCCAGTACATCTGCTACAAAAGTAAATGCCATTGTTTCTGAGGCAAATCCACCCCAGAGCCAGACAAACAGGCGAACCAAGATGTCGAGACAGCTTCACCAAACACACCAGCAACAGGCACAAATACAACCAGATCTACAGTCATTATCACAATTACCAGCAGTGCCTCAGCAACAGGAGCAGCATAATGAGAACACTGTTTCACATTCATCACCTGTTACTTCATGTACAGACAATGCAAATACAAGGCACAGCTCAGAGGACTCTGATATTACGAGCTTCGGAGATACAGTGGATAGAGATTGTGAATTACCTGAATCCCCAACATTAGATGTCTTTACAGAACAGCCTCCATCTCCAGCATCAAAAACTAAAGGTAATAATGTTTTGAGAGAACAACTTGCATTTTTATAGTACCTTTTGATAAAGGAGAAATGTCCCAACATCTTTCACAAAAGCGCAAGAGAAACTTGTGTCGAATCAAAGTAGGTTGTCATTTTCAGTGGTGTTTAGAAAACAGTTGATCTCATTGAAACATAAAATTCTGATGAGGGCTAAATCGTGGTCAATGCTGATAAGAGGTTTCTCTGGCTGAAGCTGCTAAAACCCGGCATTAGGACCAACATGAGAAATTCCTTCACTGAGGGCAATGAATTTTTGTAATTCTTTTATCTCCGGGCTATAGATGGGTATGTTCAAGTCTGAGATTGATTTTTGGGCACTGTGGCAATAGAGGAATATGAGGATAGGTTGAAAAAGAGCTGATATAGAATTTCAACTGTCAACAGCCTTGGGGCATTATGTTTATCATTTTTATTTCTCATGTCCTTATATTAGCAGGTATGACCAAAATCTTTGCCAAGTTCTTAGTTTTAGGGGAGAGAAGTTGATATGCTTGCCATAAAACTAGTCAGCTGAATGCCTGGCTGCTCATATAGAAGCAAAATACTGCAAATGTTGGAAATTTAAAATAGAAACAAAGTGCTGAAAAAACTGTAAGCATATCTGGAAACATCTGTGGAAAGCAAAATGGCTAATGTTTCATCCCAGAATAGTATGGCTCCTAAAGTTGGGGCCCATCTCCTTAGGGCTGGAGAGGAACTTGGATTGGGATTGGGAGTGGAAGTGGAAGGAGAAGATCAAAATATGGCCATAAATGTTTATACCAGCAACATAGGACCAGAAGGGAGATTTTGCTGAAAGAATTTGATCAGTTAGGTAAATTAGAGGATAGAACCTCCAAGGTAGTGATCTTGGGGTTACTACCTGAGCCACTGGCATAGGGTAAATAATGTCAAGGAGTTAAATGCATGACTCAACAATTGTGGGTGGAATGAGTTTCTGTTCATCAGGTACTGGCACCAATACTGGCGTTAGGAGGAAACTTTTAGTGGGATAGGCTTCACTTACTGTGCTGAGGTTAGTGTCCCGAAACTGAATAACAAGAGCTTTACACTGGTTGGGGTTGGGTAGGCGGTGGGGAGGGGTGCGGTTGGGGGTTTGGGGGGAGTTGTAGGCTTACAAAGTAGAAGGACATGGCAGCAGACAGCACTGCAGGGCGGCTATTTTAGATAATGACATCCGTTGTGGGACAAGTAGAGACAGTATAGAAACACCAACAAAGGCAAAATTTAATGCCTCTTAAATACGTATGGTATTCTAAGCAAAATAACTAAATAGGAGTGATGTTATAGCTGCTATGGGACATCAAAGCTGGGATCTAAATATTCATGAGTATCTGACTTTTTGAAAGGGCAGGCTGAAGGTAAGGTTAGAGTAGTTTTGCTAGTACAAGATGGCATAAGTGCAATCGCAAAAAATTATCTTGAATTGAAGATATGGGAGAAGGTAATAAATAACCAAAGGAAGACAACACTGATGGGAGCAGTTAATCAGTCTCCTAACAGGAGCCTTTTGGTATTATGCAACAAGTCTGATGTAATAAGGGCATATAAAAGTGTCAACACGTTAATCGTGGGTGGGTTTAATCATGTCGATTTGGGGAAAATCAAAGTAGCAAAGATAGCCATGAGGAGGAATTAGGAGTGGATTTGGGATAGTTTCATGGGACAGTATTTTCAGAGTCTCATTGGAGATCACACTATTTTGGACCTGTAATGAGGCAGGTTTAATAAGTGAATCAATAAAAAGATTTACCTAGGAAATTATGAATGTAACATGACAGAATTTAATATTTAGTTTGAGAATGAAAAACTTAGGTTAGAAAAGCTTTTAAACTTAAATAAGGGTAATTGTGAAGAAATGAGGATAGAGTTGGCTGAAGTAAGTTTACCAGAAAGGAGATTGAGGGACACTTGCAGTCAGTTAAGAAAATAGTTCATGACTCACAAGGTGTACCTCAGTGAGGAAGAAGGATTTGAGGAAGGAGGTAAACCAACCATAGTTAAGGAAAGCATCAAATTGTATGTTTTTTTTCTTTCAAATGTGTCAAAGATTAGTAATAAGCCAGAGATTTTGGAAAGTTTTAAAAACCAAAAGCTGATGACCAGAAAAATAATTCTTTGAGTATGTAAAAAGGGAGGGGAAGGAGGTGAGGGGGTAAAGTGAACTTAGGCCCCTTCCAGAATGAGGTTGGGGAGCTAATAGTGGGGAACCAGAGGAATGGAATAAATTCTTTGCATCAGTCTTCACAGCAGAAGAAACTGACTGCATTTCAAAAATACTAAATCTCCAGAATAAAAGAGGAGGAAATAAATCTAGTGACAATTCACTAGAGGAAATGAACTCCGGGGAGTTGTGAGACTAAAGAGTAATACATCCCCTGGACCTGATAATGCATCATAGGATATTAACGGAAGTAACTACAGAGGTAGTGAATGCATTGGTAGTGATGGTCCAGGAATCCTTAGATTCTGGAAAAAAATCCCTCAGGAGTGGAAAACTGCCATTGTAACACCCTGAGAATGTACTATTGCCACATTTGTGAATGGTACAGAAATATGTGGGACAGCAAGTAGTGAAGATGACCCAAGGAGTCCACAAAAGAATATAGGTTGATTAAGGGAGCATGCCAAAAATTTGGCAAATGGAATACAATGTGGGAAAATGTGAGGTTATTCACTGACAGGAAGAAAAGAGGAGCTGAATATTGTTTAAAGGGGCAAAGACTGCAGAAAGGTGTAGCACGGAGTTTTGGGTCCTTGTGCATAAATTAGAATGCTAGCATACGAGTTCAGCAGATAAATAGGGAAAGCAAATGAAATGAATGCTGCTTTGCTCCATTCCTTTTGAAAATTTTTTTTAAAAAAAGGAAGTCTTGCTAAAACTATGCACTAGTCGGACCACAAACAAAAACAGAAATTGCTGGAAAAGCTCAGCAGGTCTAGCAGCATCTGTGGAGAGAAAGCAGAGTTAACGTTTTGGGTCCAGTGATCCTTCCTCCAAACTAGTTAGACCACACCTGGAATACTGTGGCCAGCTGTGGTCCCCTCATTGAAGGAAAGAGGTACCTGCATTGTTGGTAGTCCAGAGAAGGTTCACTAAGTTGATCCTGGCAACGGAGGGGCATTCCTGTGATGTAAGATTGAGTGGTGTTAGGCCTGTGTACTTATTGCAGTTTATGAAAAATGAGAGAAGGCCTTCTTGAAACATGCATGATGCTTAAGAGGTTTGACAGGGTAGATGAGGAGAGGTTGTTATCCCTTGTGGGATACTCTAATCATAGAGAATGTAATTTGAGTAGGTGGAGGGGTACCCATTTAGGACAGATGAGGAATTGTTCTGTCTGAATCAATGGAGTTCTGTCAAAGCTGGGTTATTAACTATAATGAAACCATCCTTTTTCCTAGCCACCATCGTTTTTGAAGAATGGTCACCGGACCTGAAATGTTGACTCTACTTTCTCAGCACAGATGCTGTCAGACCTGCTGTGACTTTCCAGTAATTTGTTTTTGTTTCAGATTTCCAGCATCTGCAGTTCTTTCACTTTTTTTGTCATTGCGTATATCAAGGCTGAGAGACGACTTTAATCAATAATGTGGAGGGTTGTGGGGAATTGATAGGAAAGTAGAGTTGAAGATTATTGGTTCAGCCATGATCTCGTTGGTGGAGCAAGCCCGAAGGGTTTGAATGGCCTTCGGCTCCTATGTCTACGACCAGAAGTGTACACAATACTAAAGTGAGGTGATTTGTGTGAATGGTTGGTAGCATTGAAGGCATTTTTGCAAATAAATGCAAAATACTGTGGATGCCAGAGATCTGAAATAAACAAGTGCTGGAGAAACTTGCCATGTCTAGCAGCATCTGTGAAGAGAGAAACAGTTAATATTTTGAGTTCAGTTTTACAATTTTAAGCAATAAGATCATTTTAAGTTTTTAAGGCATTGGAATCAATATAGATCAGCAAGGACAAGTGATTGGAATTTAATGGCATACTCCTGTTCCTAAGCCATGTGTTTCTTTGTGGTATAGATACAGTAGCATTTGAGATATGAAGTAAAGAATGGGTGGCTGCCCAGGATAACCATTGAATATGCAATCTGAGTGACATACATGATTTAAGTGAAAAGTGAGCCAAGGCAACACAGTCGAGAGAGAAGTTAGAGGTGAAATTGTTAGCTCTGTGATGGATAAGATTTTTGGTCTGAAACTGCTCGAAGTCATGTAGTTCATTACAGGCTGTACCATATATTCATTTCAATATGGTTGGGGAGCCCAGCAACATTAATGAAAGGGAATGGTACTATGAGTGTTTTTGAAGATTATGCCTTTGGTCTTAACCTTTTGTCTTGAGCTATAATTATCTCTGTGCAACAAGCAGATTAACATATACGTCAAAGCAGGAAATAGAGAAATGGAATTTAGTACGCTTTGCATGCAGCAGCTGACCCCAAGTCATCGCACAATGCATGTGAATGAGGAAGAGGAGAGAACACTGAATCCTCTAGAGACTATATAAAGGTAACACTGAGAGCAGGAAGAGAAATAACTCCTTGTATTGCTGCTCTTGCAGCCAGATAGGTTGAGTGAATCAGATAAGAAAGGAACCTAAGTAACAGTCCCAATAAGCTGGACAATGAAGCAGAAATGGTCAAGTAACATGATCTTGCTCCAAAGAAGAATGAATGAATGACTGTCGCAGTTACAGGAATTCTGTTTGTGACTTTGGGGCCTGCCTATGTGCAAAGATGAAAACCGTAACTGAAGAAATTTAAACAGAGCTCTAGTAGAGATGGGCACAAGTTTGGAAAGTAACAAGGCTTTGAAGAGGGAAGGGTAATTTGAGATAGTAAGGCAATTTACATAAACCTGTAGTGTCTTTTTGAGGAAAGAGTTATAGCCATTTGATGATGTGGCAGACAGTAGCTGAGGAGAAGAAACTATTTACATTCAGTTAGCTAGAAGATCAGCATGTTTTTTGGCTATTGGGATCAAGGTGCAGATATCATGGGCAAGTGTTTGGGAGGAGAACAATAGAGGGTATTAATAGAGGGTATTAATAGATGTTATCAACCCAATGACAATGTTCATGAGCATCTCACTTCATTAATATGAAGTAGTTGAAAGTATTTTAATGTGCTATTTGGCTGTGAAGACAAGAGCCAGAAATTATATTGGCATTTCAGACTGCTCTGGTGTGTAGTTGCTTTGGGAGAAAAGTGAATCTACTTGGGCATGGTGGTTCACATCAAGTGATGTGATGAACATCCACAAGGTACATTCAACTCTGTACCATTTGAATTAAAAGGAATATGAGGACATTGATTGGAAATAACTAGGATTGAAGTGTGTACAAAATGGGCATGGATTCTAGAATGACCAAGCAAATTAGCTGTTGCCAAGTATTATGGGAAATGGTATGCCAAAGGCATAAGTGGTGGTGTAAATGGCTAGTGGAACAGGTTTTGTTTTGGACAGATGCAAAATGAAGGGATTTGAAGGATGTGGGTGTTGAGGTGATTATAAGTAAGTGGTTGAAAAATTACCTTGTTAGTTGTTGAGATGCTTAAAGTAAGGAGACCCTAGTAGACAGCAAGGTCAATGGTTGGCCATGAGTAGTGCAGAAAAGATTTATAAGGAGGGCATTAAATTTAGACGGTCCCAGGAACAAGGTGGAAAACAAAATTGGGAATGCTTGGGATTTCTCAAATTCGGGACGGAGTTTAAATTTTCAAGTTGTTGCCCTTACACAAGACACTTGATACAGTGGCACTGAGAATTGCATGAAAAAATTATAATTATAATTACAATTGGCTTGTACACAAAAATATGGGAAATTGAAGTGTTATGTTTCCATCACACTATGACTTGTATTCATTATGAAATTTAACACTGTATAATTTTGCATATTTATAATAATAATTAGTATTATGTTCAATTGCTCTGCAAATTATTTTTTTGAAAAAAGACCTAACCTGGTGTCTGCATGTTACTAAAGGGCTCTGCAATTGTAGCAAGATATCTTTGCTGTGAGCATTAAGGAGTAGTAAAGGCCAGCGTACAACTTGCCTTCTCAATTGCCTCTACCTACATGTTAACTTTTAAATAACACGTGAACGCAGGCATCCTGGTCCCTTTGAAATTCAATGCTTCCCAGCCCCTCTCCATTTCAGAAACACTTTGCATTCTATTTTTCCTACCAAAGTGCAAGATCTCTCTGATTTCTCCACATCCTATTCCATATGCCACATTTTTGGCCTCCAATTTTTAGCCTCTCCAAATCCCCTTGAAGCATTTTTTGCACCTTCCCTTCATATTGCATTCTCACTTTGTTATGCCATCAATAAATTTGGAAATGTTACACTTAATCCCTACATCCGAACCATAAATTTAGATTTTAAATAACTGCTGTCCAAGCTCTAATCTTTGCAGTAATGCCTTAACACAGCCTGCCAACCTGAAAATGAACCATTTATTCTTACTGTTTTCTTTCCAAAGGTCAGTTCTCATTTGTTTATTTGCTCTGTTTTCCCTTTCTTAATCTTTCTCATAGCTGTCCTTTTTGTAGGATTCTGAACTTCACCCAATTCTCAGGCTTACCATTTTACAGCAAACTTGAGCCTCCTTCCTTTTGATCTAATAGAATTCTCTTTAAAGCCAAGGCTGGAACTTTTTCTTTTCTGCCTTGCCTTTTTGCCTAATAAATAAATATTAAATTTTAAACCAAAGAGCCACCTGCTGTCACATTTTTAATACTATAGCCTGTTTTGCTCCTTATAGGTTCATAGCTCCTTTGTTTAAATTTAAGACCCTAATTTCTGATTGAACTGCATCACTTCCAAATTTAATGTAAAATTCTATCATATTGTGGTCATTGTTTCCTAAAGATTCATTTGCAGCCAGATTATTTAGCACTTTTTCATTGCACAGTAGTTGATTTAAAATAACCTGTTCCCCAGTTGGCATTTCACCGTACTGATCTAAAAGTGTGAAGTGATTCATTTTGGAAGGTCGAATTTGAAAGCAAAATACAGGGTTAATGGCAAGATTCTTGGCAGTGTGGAGGAACAGAGGGATCTTGGGGTTAACATCCATAGATCCCTCAAAGTTGCTGTCCAAGTTGATAGGATTGTTAAGGCGTATGGTGTGTTGGCTTTCATCAGCAGGGGAATTGAGTTTGAGCCGCGAGCTTAGGCTACAGCTCTATAAAACCTTGGTCAGATCACACTTGGAATATTGTGTTCAGTTCCAGTCACCTCATCATAGGAAGGATGTGGAAGCTTTAGACAGGGTGCAGAGGAGATTTACCAGGATGCTGCCTGGACTGGAGGGCAGGTCTTAACGAGGGAATGTTGAGGGAGCTAGGGCATTTCTCATTGGAGCGAAGAAGGATGAGAGGTCACTTGATAGAGGTGTACAAGATGATGAGAGGCATAAATAGAGTGGATAGAAGAAGTTGCTATTGATACTGGAGTTTACAGAGCACTTAGAAGAAACGATACAACTGGCATGTGTCTCATCTGAGGAAGAAATGAGGCTCAAGATTACAAGCACTACATTCTAGAATGATTAGCTGGGGAACCGCCTCTCAACCAACGTGGGGAAACATATATATTTGTGCAGGATGATAACAGTAAAAGATGTTCAACTTTCTCAAATCAAGTAACAGTCCAATTGATCATCCAGAATAAGTCACACTGAAGCAGCTAGCTATTGATGTGGAATGAAAACAAAAAATAGGAAGGGAAGAAACCAAATTGACATGTAATTGCATGTGTTATTGGAGAGAAGAGCGATTCAAAGGGCTGCCCTTAACCTTGAACTTAGGGTGAGTGAATAGTCTTTTAAATGTCAGCAATCAGAATTCAACCATATGCTCTTTAGTGAGAGACGTGAATAAAATACAGTTAGCAGCTGGAATTGTTGGTTTCTACTAATTTAATGCAGAAGAATGTATTCTCAGGAGGTTCTCCAGGCAACAGCAAGTTTAGACCAGTTTTACCATAGCATTAATAATCTGTTCTGGATGGACTTCCAATCCATATGGGAATAATGTTGCTGGCACAGTCCACTCCTTGTAACGTGAGTCATGCTGTTTTTGAAGTATATCAAAGCTCAAAGACCAGCATGAATCCTGACCCCAGGTGTTTATTTAAGTTTCTTTTATTGTTGTAATAGCCTTGCTTAATCATACCTTTACTCTGGCCCAAATTAGAAGCCTGAGTTCTAAAAAGGTTTATACACAAGACCCTCCAAGTGCTCTTCCTGTCACTGTCCAATGAATAGTTCTGCAATGGGATTTGTCAGATTGCCTACTTTGGATTTTTACTGCACAAACATTTGGTATTTAATGGTCAGCCTTCTGTCTCTTTGTATACTTGTCTGCTGAAATTTCAGCTGTAATCTCAGTTTTAAAGTTAACGTAAGTTAGCGTTTTGGCACAGGTGCCTTTTTGCTTTGGCAAGAATAGCCACTGATCAAGCCAAAAAAGGCTTACATAAAACTCCATTGACACGTTGATTGCTTACAGACCTAGATGCAGCCGAATGAAATGGGTGATAATGCGCTTATTTCATTTTGCACCAAATTGACTATTGATCTTTGCAGGATATTTGGCTAAATTCCAACAGCTGTAAGAACTAGTCACCATATGTACTTGAAAGAAAAGGAGGAGTTTTTCAAGCAATCCAGGTTAGCTATTTTTCCTGAAGTGCATTGGACAACTACAGGACATGGCTATGCAATTGATTTGATGAAAATTAAATTGAGTTGGGCGTAACACCGCACATTAAAAGGTGACCAGAGATAATGAGCCCAAGTTTTTGTTTCCTTTTCATTATGACTGTGTAACATGCTTACAGCTGTCTATTCATTTGTAGACCAGACTAAGTTGCTGGTATTCAAAGCTACCATTAAAAGAATATGGCATGATTTTTCAGTTTTGAGAAATCTTTCATCTCACTGGATGACATGGGTATTGCTAGGACAAAACTCTTGTTATTTCTATGACCAATCCTGAACTGGGGAAGATAAATCGATCATAATGAATGCTGTCCAAAGAGTTGCTGATAGATCAATAACTGAAAACTAGCTCGACTCTTAAATGACTCCTCATTACTGGAAAATAATGAAATTATTTAGGTTAAATGACCTTTCTATCAATTTGACTTTTATTTGTAACTGCTAACGTGGGTTTTTCCAGGTTCGTAATTTGAGTACTGCGCTACTTTTAAACAAGTTTAAATGCTAGCTGAGATACTTGCTAGCACACCAACAAAAACATTTAAATCAACGATCCTTTAGGGTCGACTTTTTTTTTTATTTTGGTTTTGGCAATTCTTTCATATTCTCAAACTAATATGAAAATATATTTTTGCTCCTTTGACCACTTTCCAGGGCCAAGAAGATCAGTCTACTCTAAGTGGCTCACTCCCATTTCTTCAATCTTGTTTTGCACTAGAGTACTTTTGTACTTACCTACAGGCAAACAAGAAAAGCAGTATTTTTGATAGGATTAAATTTATCACTGTATCAGTACATTATGCCATGCAAGTCTGCGTAGTTAGTGAAAATGTATTGAGGATCCAAACCTAAGCCAACCAATATTTACTTGAATCTTGTTTGAATTTTCTTCTGACATTGTGAATTAATTTTCATCACAGGGAGAGTAAAATTGCAGCGCAAAGCTAAAGCACAGAAAAAACGTGAAGAGAAGGATAGAGATAGACGGGTAAAAGGGAAACCACAGGAGGATGAATTAAAAGATGCAGATAATGATGACAGCTCTTCCACCACCACTGAAACATCTAATCCAGATGTCGAATCACCCCTCAAGGAGGTTGGTTATTTGCAAATATGATCATTCCTACCTAGACATGGCAAAATTTTAAGAGCTTAATATTTTCCTGGTCTTTACTGAAATTCTATATCAAGTGATCTGCTCCGGGCACAGTGAGTTAATTCAACACTCTTTCAAAATGAGTGCAAGTGACTAATTTATCTCCCTTTCCAATTCATACGTTTCCTTCCAATGTAAGACACAGCACGTGCTTTTCCACAAAACCTTCACCATTGATACTTAGGCACCTCCATTTACTGCCTCATGTCAAATTCCATTTTAATCTTGAAGATCCTCTTCAAGAGATTTGACTTCAATCTGCCAATCCCAGACCTATGACCAACTTCTCCCATAATTTGTTTGCATCATTCCGGTTACGTTTCAATCTTAACACTGAAACAGCCCTTTCCAAAGTCTCAAATGAATTTCTCCTTGATGCAGTCATAGTGATTGTTACCTCATATGCTGATCCACAACTTTCTGGCTGAAGTTTATGCAACAACTAAGCCTCTCCTCCAGCTGCAGAAGGGTGCACATGCATGGCTTTATTCCTGTTTGTAGAAGCGCAACCAATGTATCTGGCTTTGCGGCTGTCTTCTATACATGTGCCGGCAGGATATATCCCTGAGCTCATTGTCTTTATCTGTTCGGCCAGCTTCCAAAGACACACAGATACAAGTCTGCCTTTCCGTTTCTTTTTACTACCTGTTGGCATCCATAGCATTAATTTGTTTGTCTTAATGTCAAGTCCTTGAAAATTCACGATTTGCTGAAGCTCAACATTGTGAAGACTCGGGCCAACATCTTCAGACGATGACCGTGCACCAATCCATTGATGTTTTCATCCCTACTCACAAGTTGCACTGTTGAACTTATCCAGCCTTATTAATTGTATAAGAACCTGCAGCTTCCAAATCAGAAGAAAAATCAGAAAATACAGCACTGCATCTGAAGATGTATAGCTTAATGATTGGGTTTAATTTTCACATATGTGAATGATATTTCAGATGGACAATTTATAAGAGAAAAGAGTATGGCAAGAGCAGTTTTAAAAAGTAGGTGCACAGCATGAGGGGAAAAATGAACAGGCAATGGTTAAATGACATGATAAAAATGCAGGGCAAAAGCTTCCAAGTGACTGGTAGAAAGATGGTGTTTCTGAAGCATAGATGAACTCTACTGAAGCAGTGTAAAAGATCAGTACACATGAAATGGAAAACTGAAGACCAGGTGGCTTGGGGCTCAGGGCCACACTTGTGATAAGTGGTCATCTAATCTGTTTTTAGTCTGTTCAGTGTAGAAATTCAACTGTGAACACTAAATACATTTATACTAGATTGGAGGGGAAAAAATCAATTGTTGCTTCACATGGAAGGTGCTGTGGTAAAAGGCAGATTTGGCAGTTACTGCATCTCTTGTACTGTCAAAAGGAGATTTGGATATTGGAGGAGAGGAATAAATTTGTGGGAATGACATTAGGATAATTACTTTGCTGACCACCTTGTGTATGGCATTGGCTACCTGAAGACCTGAGCATGAAGCAATGTAGCAATAGAAATGAAAGTAATGTTGAAGTTCAGAAAAGGCCAGAAGATTGATTACTGAGTGAAGGACATGGAATTGCTGGGAAATTTTGGTGTTTCGAAGGGCGGGAATGGAATAATTGTGCTGTAAGTCTTAACTTCAAACTTGCAAGCTAAAGTTGACCAGCTTTTATTTTTACCTTTAGTCTCCAGATTCAGATAAGAAAAAAGGGAAAACAGTATTGTCTATCAAAGAGAAAGATGATGCAGATATGTTCCACCTCTTAAAACCTAAAGGAAAGAAACTCCTAGGAAATGTCAAAAAGGAAACCCAAAATGACATTAAGTCAAGGTAAAGCATTCCTAGCATCAAATTTAGAGTAAATGTAATTGGGTAACTTTTTTTGAAGTATTAATTGGCTCTTTTTCTTTTGAAGTTCGCTGGAATTGCCATATACTACTCCATTAGAGAACAAACAACGCAAACCCTTTCCTGCCAAAATAGTATCATCAACCTTGACAAATTGCCCAAAACTAAGGAATCTGCCAAAAAGAGGTAGTGGATTCGCATACATTGCTCTATGCAAATGCATCCGACTGATATACTGTGTGTAATTTCTTTTTGATGTGGAAAGATGTTGTAAACTAATACTAACATTTTATTTTTAGTGCCTGGTAAATTAGTAGATGGAAGACCCTCTCCACTGGTAAAATTCCTTTCAAGTGGTTCTGGTCAGGAAATGGGAAACAGCAGCAGCTCAGAGGGCGAGAAAGACTCTCCTCCACCTGAGTGGGATATTGCACCTATACCCAAATCTGGTAGCAGTAAGTGATGATTTAGTCGGCTTGATCTTTTTTCAATGGGAATGAAATGAGATCAGACTCTTGAATTCTGTTTTTTTCATCAAAATGGTGCTTGGTGCCTCTATTTAGCCAGTTCTCAACAAGTAAAGATTTCATCAATCTCTGTCCATCCTGAGAAACGTGAGACTATGGTGAATCTGAGCTTTTATAAGATAAAGTTGTACGCACATGGCCTGATCTATAATTTTCCAGCCCATAGCTCAAAACCTCCATTTTGTATCTGAATTCTAACTGGGGCAGAGCTTTGTTGTACGTTTACTTGCTATTTGAGCCACGAGTAGGTTGAATTGGCATAAGTCATTCTGCGAAAACCCAAATTCCAAGCAGCAGAAAGTTACTTGTGGAAGGTGACATGGTGGTTCAGTGGTTACCTCACTGCTACCTCGCAGCACTAGGGACCTGGGTTCAATTTCACTCTTGGGCGACTGTCTGACGAGTTTGCACGTTCTTCCTGTGTCTGCGTGGGTTTCCTCCCATAGCACAAAGATGTGCCGGTTAGGTGTTTTGGCCATGCGAAATTGCCCATAGTGTCCAGGGGTGTGCAGGTTTGGGGGATTAGCCATGGGAAATTGTGGGTCTCTGGGTGGGATGCTATTCAGAGGGTTGGTGTGGGCTCGATAGGCCAAAAGGCCTGCTTCCACACTGTAGGAGTTCTATGATTCTAGAAACCTTACAGATTTTAAACTGTTAATTCCACTCTTCCTAGTGACTGTTCTGGATGCTTAAAGGTATGACCCATGCTTCATGCTTTGCAATTATAAATCAGTTTAAGGAATGTTGAAATCTTTAAATTATAGTCTAGTATTCATGCAAAGAAATAACCTCTATGTATCTAGTTATCATTGAATAATTGAGTTTCTCGTTTTCAAGGTTTTTGTAGGTTTATCTGTGTGAGACGACAGAATTAATTTTCACTATTTAATCAAGTGAACTTTAAAATCATTTAAATTATTGAGCACTTATTGTTAACAATTTTCAGGTTCAGACAGCCTTCAGCAGCTTTCCATTCAGACTCTTCATGCCGATGTCTTCTTGAAGAGACAAAGCTCACCTATGCCCGCGCCACCATCTCCTCCACCCGGACCATCTCACAACTTGATTTTTCGTGCTCCCAGTTACAGTAGCATTGTCAACAATAGGTACAGTCAATCGTTCACAAAGTAAACCTAACTTGTGGGGACAGTGAAATGGTGCTCTGAACAAAAGAGAAATGTCCAATTGTACACTCAGCTAGAATAAGAATCAATCGATGCTTTTGCTGCTACTCTGAACCATGTGCTGGCCATCTAACCAACTGAGCTGACTGGCCTTCTGTTAGGCATGTTTATCTCTGTTACCTGCGAGCCTCTCTGTACAACATTTTATCTCCCAATCACTTAAATCTTTTAAAACCTCATTTGAGAAATGTCAGTCCTCACCTTGCGCACTAGGTTGCTTTTGAAAATTCACATATGTGAATGTGAGAACGTGTGAAGTTACATTTGTCTAAAACTTTAACGAGTTTGAGGCACCTCTTAAAAAGTACTCTACAATCGGCTGTCAATAAAAGTATTCGGTTAAACAAAGCTATTTATCCATCTATTACAAAATTCCCCTTGGACTCATTTTATAAATTCTATTCCAAAGCGCACTTCTTAGCAATTCAAATGAAATTCCATTGCAGACTTGGGAATTCAGATGGTATTTTTGTTTTGCCTCTAGTCATTTTTGGAATGTGAGCTTTGCTGTCAAAACAACATTTCTTTTGCTGATCTCGTTGTTATTATTGAAGGTGCTTATGAGCTACCTTATTGAACTGTGGCAGTTGGCACATCCACCAAGCTGCTAAGGAGGTATTTTCAGGCTTTTGACCCAGTAACAGTAAAGATGAAGTGATATAGTTCCAAGTCAGAATGGTGCATGTCTCAGAAGGAAGCTTGCAAGTTGTGGCACTCCCCAGTATCTGCTGCTCTTGTCATTGAGGGTTTGGTTTTGGAAGGTGCTGCTAAGGGACATATTGTAGTGCAACTTGTAGATGGTACACTGCTACCATTATGTCCTGGTGATGAGAAAGTGAATATTTAAGGTGATTAATTGACTATCAATCGTTTTATCTCTTAAGATGGTCCAGCCTTCCGAATGTTGTTTTGAGCTGCACTCTTCAAGGCAAGCAGAGAATTTCCATCACATTCCTGATTGTGAAACCTGTAAATCTTCAGGCACGAGAGTCAGGGTACAAGTTAGCTTTTGTCCACTTTTCTGACTTGCACTTCTCACCGCATTATTTAAACAGCTGGTCTAGTTCAGGCTCTGGTCAGTGGTAACCCCTAGGATGTTGTTACTAGGGGATTCAGTGATCGTAATGCTGCTGAATACTAAGGGAGAAGATCATTACCTGGCACTTCCTTGGCTTGAATTTATTAAGAGAATCTGATTGCCAGGTAAACTATTTAATCTTAAAATTTTATCTGTAGGTTTCACTATTTTGTAGATAATATTGCTGCTGACTGTAAGAATCAGATCTAGATGACGGTTAACCCTGACTCAGCTGGTTCAGTAGGTGAATAGTCTGGCCCAGGGAATTGGAAAATTTCCTTACGCTTTTTTTTTTTTTTGAACCATTATCCCGTCTATGCATAAGAATAACGTTGGTTGGTGATGATTTGAATTAGGTTTGTTAGTAATAACTCTCCTGTTGAATATCGTCTGTTTCTGTGCTCTGTGACCCTGACTGTATTCAAGCTTGTTTTAAATAATGGCTATTGCTGACTTCTGAGAATTAACATATCTTAAAGAAAGGTTTACATCTTTGGCTTCAGAATGTTCCAAAGTACTTCACGATCAGCAAAGTCCTTTTAAGTTGGTCATAATTGTAAGCTGTAGTTATAAAGATTTTGAAAGTGTAGGAAACTGTATTTTCTCAAGACCTTTGACATTGACATTGTGACTGAAAATTGCTGAAAACAGTTTCACAATTAGGTGTGAAATGGGTTGTACAAGACATGAGCAATTTTCTGTACGGTTGCAGAGAAATTAGAATGTTATTAGATGTTATGTTTGCATGTTTTCCCATGCATTCAAATGCATGTTTTGCATGTGGTTTAAAAATTGCATACTAATTCTATAAAGCTGTGTAGTTTTTTATGAATGCTGTGTGTGTTTTCTTGGAATTTTACAGAATTATCTTTGTTGTTGCAGTGATGCTGGTATTAAACCAGTGAATGGTAGCAAATCCAAAATTGTAAAATCAACGTCTCTCCCTGGGAAAAATGGCAACCCTACCTTTGCTGCTGTGGCTGCAGGCTATGACAAGAGTCCAGGTACTAACTAGTTTATCAAGTTCCTGAATGAGTTAAAAGGTGGAACGCTTCATTCATCATCTAATGAGCCTATTTGCACAAATTAAATATTTGCCTTATAAAAATTGTTATAATTTACTTGCAGGCAGCAGTGGTTCGATGAAAGCACCTTTAAACAAAGCCGAAGTCTGTGGCAGCATTCCTACCCCTTTATGTAATAGTGTGGCTTCTTTTGACAGTGATGAGTCAGACACCAGGTGAGGAAAATTTACCTGCCTCATAACTTGGGTTCTGGTATCTTTTTTGGGTTTTAAGATAATTAAGAAAAGCAATCGTATTTCATGATATTCTTTAGACTATTCCCTTCCAGTTATAGCATAATTGAATTTGAATTAAAAATAAATTGTTTACTTAAAATATAAGCCTGTTAAAGATTTTATTTTCTGGTAGATTTGTATCTCGGGTGAGGCTATTCAAAGTGACTGAATTGCCAAATGGCACAAACACCCAGGCTAACACTCTGCGTGCATGGATTCTGATCCCACCATGGCAAGTGGTGGAATTTAAATTCTGTTAATAACAATTTGGAGCCAAAAGATAACCTCCAGAACACTAACCATGAGACTAGGTTAGTTTGCCAAAAAAGCCATTTAGACCACTAATAAATCAGCCATCCTTATTTGCTCTGGCCTACATGAGACTCCAACTCAGTCATGTGGTTGACTTAAATGCCCTCGCACTCGGTACAAAGACAGTTAGGGATGTGCAGCAAATGCTGACCTTGCTAGGGATGTCAGCACCCTGTGAAAGAATTTAAGAAATGGAACCGTACATTTTGTTACTTTGTGCAGATCATATTAATGGATGCCGTAGAGTGTAAACATTTGAAAGTTTTTTTCACTTCCCTTTTAATCTGTTGCGTATTTACTCACTGCAGCTCTCGTTGATTTGTGATATAGACTGTGTGGCTTTTTGTTTTGTTAATTTCTTCTTCCACACTTCTTTTGTTTCAGCTCCAGTTTGTTGAGTCCATGCAGTGTCAGCACCACCAGCACCTCTGAGTTTGCTCCTCCAAACTCCTTTTCAGCCTTTGGACCTAGCAACTCTTTCAATCTTACCGGAGGTAATGCATTCAAACTAATGAGTGATCGGTAGGTTGGGAATAGAGAGGAAAAGGTGGATCAATTATAGGAAGGCATCTGTGTGCTTCCTTTTCATGCATGCCAATGCCCCAATCTTAAAAGGTGAGCAATGAATACGAATGCTTAAAAAAAATTCTGACACTAAAACTTAAACCTGGAAAGATGCTGTAAGCAAGTCCTAAACTTTAAAGCTAGCAATTTACCAGACTGGAATGACAGTATAATGTGCCAAAATAAGTAGAGATAAAATCCACCTTAATTCACCAGTGATCAAGTGTTTATTCAGTGATTGGTCAAGTCAAACAAAATAGAATTACTGGGTTCTGTTTGTTAACCAACTGATCTCTGCTGCAGCACCATAATTAATCTAGGCATGTTAAGTGAAGAAAGTAGATAAGGGTTACTTTCTCTTTTTGCAAGTGCATGCACATTGACATTACAGCAGAGTTCTACTCTGCAGTCAATAGCTGACTCCTCCATACTTTCGCTGTTGCATGGGTTACAGACACTTTCAAAGCAAGAGAGCAAACCATATGATAATGTTTGGTCAGTGATAGAGCAGGAAGAGAACTGCGGAGATGTTGAGCCATCTTGGATCATAGTAAAAATCAGCGTCTTAAAACTTAGCATTTTTTTGTGTAAAGATATGACCTTGGAATAGCTTCTGTTTAGTAAGCCTAAAGTTAAATAAACACTGCAGTTGTTTGAGATCGCTAAATAACGCCTTGCTATACAGTTTCTAATGTAAGACAATGTTAACTTGCTGAACAGCTTATCCTTTCAGTTGCACTGTAAGGGTGACACTTAGTATATTCTTGGAAGAAAGATTCCTACCGCATCTGTTCAAATGTTTCACTAAAAATGGTGGTTTTGCATAATACAAATAGTGCAGTGAAATATTGGTTCACAGTTATCCCTTGACTTCCTGGGGATGATGAGACCAGAATTTGGGGTTGTTGCTCTTTGTTTTTCTTGGACAAGATAATTGAATTTGATTTAAGATGAAAGTCATATTTATTCCTGCAAATGTCTTCCCTCCCAAAATTTAAATCTGCAATGCATGCTCACAATTAGATAGTCAGTGTCTGTCTTGAAATTTTTAAATTGAATTTTTGCTGCTGGAGCACCTCCTTGCCTTGAGCAATGGAGGTGACTGCAAAGGGCAAAAGTGTGCCCTCTCTCTTAATCTTACAATTTCTGCACTATTCTTCTCTACATAGCATAATGGTTTTATAATTAATAAGGAGCTTTGCCTGTTCAAAATCATCTTAAATGTAATAAGGGATTTAATGGAAGAGGGGCCTGCAATCAGCCTTGTCATGAGGCAGTCTGGGAAGAGGAGTCTGCAGTCAGTTCTTGTGGGGCGGGGGACAGGGGGTGGTGGTGCATGGAATACAGTGACATCACAGCAAATTTAACTTTATTCCTATTGGAAAGAGTATTTGAAGACCGGAAGGCCAAACCAAACTTCAGAACTGACGTTCATGCTAGTTTGCCAGGAGTGAGTATCTATTAATTGATTGAAGCCTGTTCTACTCAAGTTTTACCATTGTATATATATTAATATAAAAAGCAAAAAAAAGTGAATAACTCAATAATTATTTACAAACTCGTTAAGATTGGCAATACAGCTGTTGTGTCAAAGCTGCAGCATGTGGGAGCTCAAAAGCACTATTGTGATCCAGGGCAAACATGTCTGCAGTAAGTGTTCGAATTTTGAGCAGCTTCGGCTCAGAGCTTCAACTGGAGGCTGACCTAGACACCAATGCATCAGGAAGGAGGAATGTTATCTTGATTATTTGTACCAGGAGGCAGTCCCACCTCTTAGAATAGGATGTTCTGATGTAGGGAGGCCCTCCTGTCCCTGACCATAAGTGAGGCAGATGAGGGGGCCCAGAGGACAGGAGTACAGGCGTGTCAGCCTCTGCACTTGTCCAACAGGTTTGAGGCCTCTCTATCTGTTGGATGAAAATGGGACAGTGGGATGGGTAAATTACATGACCATGTTACCATGGTACCAGAAGCCGCTCAATCATGGGGAGCCAAAAGGAATGTAGTGGTAGTCGGGGACAGTAAGATCAGGGAGATTTGACACTCTTGTCCGCAATGAAGCGTGCATGTCCAGAAGCCTGTGTTGCCTGCCCAGTGCCAGGGTTCAGGACATCTGTTCTGGGCTGTGGAAAACTTGTTTGGGGAGGATCCAGTTGTCGTGATCCTTTCTCCACCCACCTCTTTGCCCCCATGCCCCATGTTCAGAAATGCCTTTCTTTGCTAATTTAGTTATAATTTGTCTAGATGGGGGAAAAGAATGTTTCCAAACACAGTGTGGCCCCTATTGGTGCTCCAAAGAAATTGAAATAAATTTATAACTTTATCATTTTAAGGTCAGTGTATTTTGCTGTAATTGGATTTCATTTTTAAAAAAATTGTTTTTCTTTCAGTACTGTTAATTGGAAACTTAGTTTCTAGATACTGGATGAGGCATTTAAAGACACCTAATTGAATATTTTATATGCATTTATAATATTGCAAGCAGAATATTTACTGAAGCATGCAGCACCTACAGTATTCTAAATGAGGCTTTAATTAATTATTTTATAGCAATATGTTTGACTCCTTAGCAATATGTGTACTAGTTCTGGCTAATTATCTTATTAGGACTTACAATCAGAAAATAAGAAAATAAAAGTTATAGTTTTTTGTTTTTGGAAACTGGACGTCTGAAATGAAACAGAACCTACTGGATGTAGGCTGCAAGTGAACCAAAATCTGGAAGGAGCAGTTGGATTTTGCATTAATGTAGTAGAGAGAACAATTTTTAAGCAAGTAGTGTCTGGGAAATGTGAGACCACGGGATCAGGGGTTGATGAAGAAAGAGCATTGGGGAGGGTCTACAATTGACAGGATGGGGTGAATAATGAAGCAAACTGAACTGAAGAATGTACTGAAGCAAATCTTAGTAGACAACTGATGTTAGGGAAGTTGATGGTGTTGAAGACTGATAAATCCCCCGGGGCTTGATAATCTACACTCCATAGTAGTTAAGGAAGTAGGTGTAGAAATAATGGATGCATTATTGATCATATTCCAAGATTCTTTAGACTCCAGCACAGTTCCTGCAGATTAGAAGATAGCTAATGTAACCCTACTGTTTAAAAAGGGAAACAGAAAAAATGAGTTATAGACCAGTGAGTCTGATGCCAGTAGTAGGGAAGGTGCTGAAGTCCATTATCAAGGATTTTATAGCAGAGCACTCAAAACAGTGGTGGAATCCGGTAGTCAGCGTGGATTTAGAAAAGGGAAATCATGCTTAACAAGTCTACTGGAATTCTTTGAGGATGTAACCAGTAGAGTTGATCTGGTAAGCCAGTGAATGTGGTTTGTTTGGACTTTCAGAAGGCTTTTGACACAGTCCCACAAAACATTGAGTAAAATTTAAAGCACTTGGGATTGGGGGTAGTTATTGACTGGACAGAAAATTGGACAGCAGACAGGAGACAAAGTAGGACTAAATGGGTTTTTTTCTCAATTGCAGGTTGTGACTGGTGGGATATTACAGGGATCAGTTCTAGGACCCCAGCTATTCACAATATATGGTAATGATTTCGATGAGGGATCAGATGTAATGTCTCAGCTTTTGCAGATGGAAGGATAAGTTGTGAGGAGGATGCAGAGATACTGTAGTGTGATTTGGACAGGTTGAGTGAGCAAGTGCATGGCAGATGCAGTATAATGTGGATAAATGTGAAGTTTTGCATTTGTGTAGCAAAAATATAAGTAGATTATTGTTTGAATGGCTGAACGTTGAGAGCGGAGTATTCAGCGAGACTGAAAACAAAAACTGCTGGATATCACAGTGAATCGGGCAGCATCTGTGGAGAAGGAGCAAGCTTGCTCTCTCTGGAAGCTGTCTGACTCGGTGATTCCCAACAATTTTTGTTTTCAGTAGATTCCAGCATCTGCAATAACTTGTTCCTACGTGATATTCAATGAGACTTGGGTTTTTAATGACAAAATTTAATTACTCAAATCTAATCACTTTCTTAGTAATTAATCTTCAATCAATACAATAAAAGGAATGGCTTTGTTTTAAATACAGTGTGTTTTAGTCTTTGGGAGTGGAGCTTGATTTTGCAAGTTTAGAACCAGGGCTCAGCCTAAAAATATAGGATAGGCCATTTAGGACTGATGAGAATTTTCTTCACCTAGCCTGTGGAATTCTGTCAAATCAGTTGAGCCAAAATATTGAATGCCTTCCAAGGAGGAGTTGCATACAGTTCTTAAGACTACAAGGCTAAAAGGGTATGGGGCAAAAGTGGGAGCAGAACACTAAGTTGGATGATCAGCCGTGATTATGTTGAATGGCGAAGCAGGCTTGAGATGCCTACTCCTGCCATCTATGTTTCTGTGACTCCCAAGGGCAAGAGAGCTAACCTTTTTAATGTCCTTTATAGAGGGTGGTGTGAGTGGAATACTTATCTATCTTAGTGAAAGAGTAGATTTTAAAAAGTGTCCCTGCTTCCTTGAATAGATCCTATCTTTTATAACAAAAATAGATCAGCAGCCCTGGCAGCATCTGTTGAAGAAAGCAGAGTTAATATTTTGGGTCCAGTGACCCTCCTTCAGAAGTTTCTGCCTCTACCACCCTTAAAGCCAATTTGTTCCAGATTCCCACCCCTCTGAGTGGGGGAAAAAACATTTTCCTCCTGTTGTCTCAACCTCCTGCACCTTAGGTTAAATCTGTGGCCCCTGGTCATTGCTCCTCCACCAACAAGAAACTTTTTTTTTTTTCCTGTTTACTTTGTCTATGTCCCTCAATTTTACACCTCAATTTTACACCTCAATCATGTCCTCCCTCGTTCTCCTGTGCTCCAAGGAAACAACCCCAGTCTATCCAATCTCCTCATAATTCAAACTCTCCAGCCCAGGAAATATCCTGGTCAATGTCCTCTGCACCCTCTCCAGTGTAACCACATTCCCCTCCATAACATGGATTGCAGAATTATATGCAATACCCTAGTTGTGGCCTAAACAAGGTTTTATGGTTCACTATATATTCCCTTATTTAGTTTGTCCTGCCCAACTGCGTCACCTTGTGCTTATCTGCACTTAATTCCATATGCCCACTGATCAGCCCATCTGATGAGCCCTCTATATTGTCCTGTTACCTAAGGTTATCCTCCTTGCTATTTACAACCCCACCAATTTTTTGTATCATCCGCAAACTTGCTGATCAATCACTTTTATATTTAACATAAATCATTTATGTATACTACAAGCAACAAAGGCCTTGACACTGATCTAGGTAGAACCCACTGGACACAGGCTTCCAGTCACAGAAGCACCTCTCAGCCAGGCCCCTCTGCTTCCTGCCAATCAGCCAATTCTGCATTCAATTTGCTGAATTTCCTGGGATCCTATGGCTCTTAACTTCACTATCAGTCTCTCATAAGGTACCTTAGCAATAGTCCTCCTGAAGTCCAAGTAGACCATGTCGAATATATTGATCTATCTACTCACCTCTTCAAAAGCTGGTCAGACATGACCTCTTGTTATCAAAACCTTGCTGGTAATTTTTGATTAATCCTACCTCCAAGTGCAGGTTAATTCTGTCCCTCAGAATTGCTTCCCCACACGCGTGGACTGACAAGTCTGTGGCTTCCTGGTTTCTCTCTCCCTTCCTCTCCCCTGCCTCACACGCAAGTGCACAATCAGCATAAATACCAATCTTTGCTAGCTATTGCCAATTCCGATGAAGGGTCTGTGGAGTTGTAAGATTAACTATATTTTCTTCTTTACAGATGAAGCCAGTTCTGCTGTTTCTCCAACACACTTTTTTTATCTAATTATTCATTGAATTAGGATGAGAGAAGGTTCAGTGGAGCATTAAAAACTAGGATAGGCTGGATCTAAAAGTTAAAGTTCTTAATTGGAGGAAGGCCAATTTTGAAGGTATTAGTCAAGTATTTTCAAAAGTTGATTGAGGATGGATGTTTATGGGTAAAGGGATAGCTGGAAAATGGGGGAGCTTTCAAAAATGAGAGCGCCAGAGTGCAGGGACAGTACCTTCCTATTAGGGTGAAGGGCAAGGCTGATAGGTGTAGGGAATGCTGGATGACCAGAGAAGTCGAGGTTTTGCTCAAGAAAAAGAAGGAAGCACGTGTCGGGTATAGACAGCAGAGACCAAGTGAAACCTTTAGAGTACAAAGGCAGTAGGAGTATTCTTGAGGGAAATCAAGAGGGCAAAAAGGGGACATCAGATAGCCTTGGCAAATAGGGCCGAGGAGAATCCAAAGGGATTTCGTAAACTCATTAAGGACAAAAGAATAACTGGGGAGAGAATAGGGCCCCTTTTAAAGGTCAGCAGGACTGCCTATGTATGGAACTGCGGGAGATGCTAAATGAGTATTTTGCATTAGTCTTTACTGTGGTGAAGGTTATGGGATGTGAGGAATTAGATAGCGACATCTTGAAAAAATGTCCAAAGTAGAGAGGAGAAGGAACTCGACAGCTTAGAATGTGTAAAGATGGATAAATCAACGGTACCTTGTCAGGTGTACCCTAGAACTCTGGGAAGCTAGGGAAGTGATTGCTGGGCCCCATAGTGAGATAATTATATCATCGATAGCAACAGGTGAGGTGCCGGAAGATTGGAGGTTGACTAATGTGCTGCCACTTTTTAAGAAAGGTGGTGAGGAAAATCCAGGGAACTATAGACCAGTGAGCCTGACATCAATGGTGGGCAAGCTTTTGGAGGGAATCCTGAGGGACAGGATTTGCGTGTATTTGGAAAGGCAAGAACTGATTAGGCTTAGTCAACGTGGCTCCGTGCATGGGGAAATCGTGACTCTCTAACTTGATTGTCACTTCTCTCATCAATCCTGTGTTTTTTTTTGAAGAAGGACATTGTACGTGATCTGTATGGATGTCAGTAAGGTGTTTGACAAGGTTCCTCGTGGTAGACTGGTTAGCAAGGTTGGATCACATGGAAAACTAGCCATTTGGATACAGAGATAGTAGGAACTGCAGATGCTGGAGAATCCAAGATAACAAGGTGTAGAGCTAGATGAACACAGCAGGCCGAGCAGGAAAGCTGACGTTTCGAGCCTAGAAATGGGGGAGGGGCAGGGGGTTCTGAAATAAATAGGGAGAGGGGGGCTGTCTCCATCCCCGCCTCTTTGACCTGTCTGTCTCCTCTCCACCTATCTTCTCCTCTATCCATCTTCTATCCGCCTCCACCTATTTTCCCTATTTATTTCAGAACCCCCTTCCCCCTCCCCCGTTTCTGAAGAAGGGTCTAGGCCCGAAACGTCAGCTTTCCCGCTCCTCTGCTGCTTGGCCTGCTGTTTTCATCCAGCCCTGCACTGTGTTATCTCATTTGGATACAGAACTGGCTTGAAGGTAGAAGACAGGGTGGTGGTGGAGGGCTACTTTTCAGACTGGAGGCTTGTGACCAGCGGTGTGCCACAAGGATTGGTGCTGGATCCACTGCTTTTCTTCATTTTATATAAATGATTTGGATGTGAACATAGGAGGTATGGTTAGTAGGTTTTGCAGATGACACCAAAACTGGAGGTGTAGTGAACAGTGAAGAAGGTTACCTCTGAGTACAATGGGATTTGATCAGATGGGCCAATGGGCCAAGGAGTGGCAGATAGAGTTTAATTTAGATGAATGAGAGGTGCTGCATTTATACACTTAATGGTAAGGTCCTGGGGAGTGTTGCTGAGAAAAGAGACCTTGGAGTGCAGGTTCATTGTTCCTTGAAAGTGGAGTCGCAGGTAGATAGGATAGGTATTCTTGCCTTTATTGGACAGTGCAAGGAGTATAAGAATTGAGAGGTCATGTTGTGGCTAGGCAGGATATTGCTTAGGCCACTTCTGGAATACTGTGTCCAATTCTGGTCACCCTGCTACAGGAAGGATATTGTGAAACTAGGAAGGGTTCAGAAAAGATTTACAAGCACGTTGCCAGAGTTGGCGGGTTTATATAGGGAGAGGCTGAATAGGCTGGAGCTATTTTCCCTGGAGCATTGAAGGCTGAGGGATGACCTTTTATAGAGGTTTATAAAATCGTGAGGGACATGGACAGGTTTATTCCCTGGGGTGGAAGAGTCCAAAATTAGAGGACATAGGTTTAGGGTGAGAGGGGAAAGATTTAAAAGGGATCTAAGAGGAATTTTTTTTTATGCAGAGGATGGTGCGTGTATGGAAAGAGTTGCCAGAGGAATTGGTGGAGGCTGGTACAATTACAATATTTAAAAGGCATATGAATAGCAAGGGTTTAGAGGAACATGGGCCAAATGCTGGCAAATGGAACTAGATTTATCTAGGATATCTGGTTGGCATCGACAAGTTGGACTGAGGGGTCTGTTTCTGTGCTGTACATCTCTGACTCCATGACTCTATGATCTGTGTCTCTGCTGTTCATTCTACATAGAAACTCCTTGTAGTTAATGAAAAATGTGTTTCCAAAATAGCTTACATGTTCAGAACGTTGGTGAGTGAGCACAAGTGTGAAACTAAATTATGCTGTTCAAGTAAGTGAACCATGTGTTAATGCTGCTTATCTTTTGCTTGACACAACTGCATCATTTCTCTTGTTGGTCAATCATATGAGAAGGGAAGATTTAACTACAGAATTACTGCACTCTGTTGTATATATTTATTCTGAGTCTTCATAATTACAATAAAGTTGCTTCCCTGAATGAGAGGAAGCTGCAAGGAGTGGATTTTTTTACATTGACTTAACTGCCTGGTGATAAACAATAAAATTTTTAATTTGGATTGGCTTAACCTTGAATAGAAATTAATTCAGTGATAAATGCTTTGATTTAAATTTAAAGACCAGTACTAAAACATTTCATAGCGTGCATAAATGATGTCTGTGGCTTTCATATTACTGCCCATACATTTCTAATTGAGTGAATTCCATTCATTCCAACTTCTAATGCATTTAATGCTTAATTTGCATTGATACTGTGTTCTGTTCCAGAGGTCTTCAGCCCTCATGTACTCTCAAGAGCAACCTTTAACCATCAGGAAGTTGCCCAGAATTGGCCAGATTACAGTTCTGCTTCATCTACATCCCTTTGGGAAACCACCTCACCTGATGCTCGAAATACCTGGCCTTCCAACACTGTTTCTCCAACTCATTCAACTTCGGTAAGTAATGGTGTGCAAAGATATGGCAATTAACAACAGTACAAAAGAATGTACAATACACAAGTTCAAGTTTATCCCATACGTAAACAATCATAGTTACTGGACAGAGGGGAAAGGAAGATTTTTATGTCAAAATATAGGTATTCTCGTTCCATAGTTTTTTTTTCCAAAAGCATATTACTTTGAGGTGAATGACTTGTAGCAAAGATATTTCATGTTCCCCAACCATTCCTATGCCCAATTGTTTCCAATAACATGGAAAGCATTGTGGGAAATGTGAAAACATTTAACAAACTAGTATCATCAAATAAGTGTCAATTATCTGAGGAAATTGTTTAATCACAGCAGGAGAGTACAGAAAACAAATGCATTTATCAATTCTTACTGAGTGTTGGAATGGTATTCGAGAAGGTAACAGGAAAGACTACTCTGTTCTATGCACTGCTGTATCATCTGATCTGGTCCTGCTGGTGATGCTGCAATGGTTGACACTGTCAAATACTCCCTTTGTAGTTTTATTTGGATCACCTGAAGTCTCTTCAAAAATTAAGTATGATGCAGAAATGCTAGAAATGTCTCTTCCTCAGATGCTGAATAGTAAATCGTATGTCATCGTTTAGAGTACATCAGTCCGATTTCATAATAGGCCTTGTTCCCTCATTCTGGACTCCAGGATTTCTAGTCTAGCAACATTACCTTGACACTACCATTTCTCTCTAAATGTGCACAAGTTTCTTTGGTTGTTTTACAATTGCTAAAGGATTTCCAGTTAGTGTTTTTTTTCTAATAATTTAATGTGAACCCTTGTCTCCTCTTGCTTTTAGTCAATCCTTTTGGGTAATTCCACCAGCAGCCTTTGGTCGACCACTCCTTTCAGCAATCCAATTTGGTCCACTAGTCGAGATAGCAGCCTTCCTTTCTCCACTCCAGCAAGCAACAACACAATGGCAAATGTTGATCTTATAGGAGGAGAAAACACAGCCTCTGGCCTAATTGAAGACCTTGGACGGATGTTTGATCCATGGAAGAATCTTGACAATATTTGGAGACCTACTCCAGGGCGACGAAGCTCTGATCCCTGGTCGAATAATTCAAATTTTCCTCACGAGAACTAATCTACAGGTGTCCACAGCTATTGGTGATGCACAGAACCTGATTACAAATACAGTATGACACCGCTTAGAGTGAAATATTGATCAAGCTGAGCCTGTAGTCCAGAAATCTTTTTCACTCAAATTTCTTTGTGCAACTTCAGCTGTTTAGTTGGAGTTGCACAAGGAAATTCGGAAGCAAATGTTCCTGGTAGAGGGATCCAGTTCTCAGCCATATCTAATCACCATTTTTGCTTCTTGCCACACGATTATGATTCATATCTGCTATAAGCAGTTCCTCAATCCTGACTGTAATTATGGTTTGTATGAGATTTCTGTTACAGTTGTAACAGAGGCTTTGTTCATTATCTATTCAAGTTTAAAAAAAAATCACTGAAGTATTTGGTCATCTTCCTCTGTTCAGTGAAATGCATCTTAAATTTATTTTCAGTTTGGAAAATAAGAGGGAACAAGACATAAGAATTTTATGCGCATCCCTTTGTATAACATCCATATAAAGCATTGTGATGTGTTTTTAAGAAAATGGAGAAAGGTTTCTCTCCCAGTATTAAGTTCAAGTTCCTCTGTTTTTGTGAGAAAAAGAATTAATGGAACCCTTTGTTTTTAAAATGCAAAGTGGGTGTTTTAGACATGGGAATGTGTTGGTAAAACAATAGGTTATAATTATGTATCCAGCATTTTGGCTTTCATTTGTATTTAAAAGGGCAACAAAAATCAACAAGATTATGGCAAAGTATAATGAGGAAGAACGCTGTAATCACAGTTCCTTTGGTTTTCCTTTTCTGTTGTCATGAGTGCTCCACAGTGTGCGCTGATGGCTGGTAACTCCAGCTGAAGTGCGCAGAACTAAAGTTTATGGAGGCAAAAAATCCCCCTTTTGTGTTCTTCGATTGAAACACAATTCTCTTGGTTGTATTTTTTTGAGATAAATAAAGTTTTTCAGAAACTGATCTTTTGGATCTGCGTTAATTTATTTAGAAATGAGTTAGGATGTTCAAATACTTGTTTTTCTTTTGATCCAGTATATTGAGCAGATTGCAAACTTAGTGCTAGTTTATGGTGAAACGATAGACCTAACCTTTTTGCATAGCACTTTTCCTTAATCAGTTCATGTTCCACTTTTTTTTTAAATTCATTCTCAATATGTGGGCTAGGCCAGCATTCATTGCCCAACCCTAATTGCCCTGAAGGCAGTTAAGAGTCATCCACATTTGGTCTGGAGTCACCCGTAGATCAGACCTGGTAAGGATGGTAGTTTTCTTTAAAGTGAATCAGATGGGTTTTTCCTGACAATCAGTGGTCATCATTAGACTCTTTCCTGTTCCAGATTTCTTTTTATTTTTAATTGAATTCAAATTCCACCATCTGCTGTGGCAGGATTCAAACCCAGATCCCCGGGACCATATCTGGTCTCTGGATTAATAGTCTAGCAATAATACCAGTAGGCCATTGCTGCTTCTACATGCTTAATGGGATGGAAATCACAAAACATGACCTTTTTTTTTTTAATTTAATAAACATCTTTTTGTGTTTCATTCTGTAACACTTGGCCTCCAATCTACTCTGGATTTGGTCTTCTGCTGACTCCAAAGATTTTTTTGTCCATTGTCATTATGATGTTTCGTAACCAAAAATGATTACTGTCACATTACCTGACTGAAATTTTTGATTTCCTTTGTGGATTTAGTTTTGAATGCAAGTGTGCTAGTTTCCTAAACTTTGTTAAAATGTAAATTCACTGATGTTTTGTTCCAACTTGCCCTCAGTAGTTCATGCCAATAACTGTATTCTAACACTGCCAACACTATTCCATTATCCGAATTCCTGTGGTGCACAGTTCTTTACAGGCTCACTTGCAAGGTTCATTGTAAACAGGTGGAAATAATTTTTGAAGGAAGTCATTTATTTTATTAAGACTATATGGACTGTGGAAGAAGCTCATTTAGAGCATTGAAATGTTCCATACTATCATGGTGCAACTTTCGCAATGCAACCACCACCACCACCACCACCTCCCTGCCTCCCCCACACAGACCCAGTTGCTACTGGGTCCCTTCATTATGGAGTAGTTATTAAACCATCTGGCAAAGTCAAAAGAAATATAGGATATTCCTATCTTTCAGTTTCGGTTTTGTAATAGATTTCTCTTGACTCTGGTTTTAAATGGTCTGGATTTTATGACAATTAACATTAATTTTGGAGCATGTTAGGTGCATTGGATTTAATTATTTTACTACAGTTTCTTGAGACGAAGTAGCTAGACGTGTGGAGATTGTTGGTGATCTTTACTGATTTTTCTCTTGTTTTGCTTGCATTCTCCCAACATGTACAATGTATTGTCAATTCATCCTTCAGCTTTACTTTCAATTAGTTCAAATATCTGTCCACCTATTCTATATTTTTGAACAAACCTGTGTAGCACTTAAGAAATTCCACAAAACTTGACAGCACAGGCCACTACTATTCAGCCCGGAGGAAGGGTCACCGGACCCGAAACACTAACTCTTTTTTTCCTTCACAGATGCTGCCAGACCTGCTGAGCTTTTCCAACAATTTTTGTTGTTTTTGTTCCACTTTCATCCCATCTTGTCCGTGCCCACTAGCAGCAAAAGCAACTCCGCTAACCCTACTGCTCTTTCCCTTTTCCCATACCCATGCAATTATTTTCTTAGGTAAGCATCCAATCTCCTCCTTAAAGCCTCAATTGAATGTACGTCAGCTACACTCCTGGGTAATTTGGTGCTCGGCAGTTTAGTGTGAATATGGTTAGAGGGGCCAAAGGGCCTTTTTTGTGCTATATGAATCTGAGGAGTAAATGGATCTCCTACACACTGAGCTCAGTGTGTAGGACACACAAACAGGAGCAGAAATAAACCATTTGGCTGCTTGAGCCTGTTCCACCATTCAATAGAATCATGTCTGATTTTTGTTTCGAATTTCACATTCCCATCTTCCCCCAATATCCCTTGATTGCCCTGCTTACCAAGAAATTATCTCCTCCTATCTTAAAAATATTCAATGCCTCTGCCTCCACTGCTATCTAAGGCAGTATGTTCCAAAGTCTTAATTTTTGCATCAGGAGGGTGACCCTTGCTTTCAAAATAACTCCCTTGGTGATGGACTGACCCACTAGATGAAATATTCTTGCCACTTGCACGTTCTGTAGACCATTTGCAATCTTCTACACTTGTGTTCAATCCAGTCACCTTGCATCCCTGCAACCTGTCCAACTTATTCTCATAAAATAATGCACATTTCCATGTGAACCTAGATACAAACTTATCTAATGTATTTACATGTTTAAGTAAGGGAACCAAAATTATGTACACTATATTTGAGAAGGGCTGTCACTAATGCATCCTTACTTGTGTTCATTTCCTGTCGTAATGGATACCATCCCATCAGCCTTCATGAGTCTTGCCTGCATGCTGATATTGACTCATTAACTAGAACACCTGAATTCCTCTGCACCTCTGAATCGTGCAAAGTAAGCAAATTCAGATTTTCCAACATTATATACCATCTACCAGATTTTTTTGCCTACTCGCTCATCTCTACGTATCTTCTCCAACTTCATTGTCTTAATTTTCTGCCTCAACAGAGATTGCAGGAGAAATTCAGTTAGTCTGGCAGCATCGGTGGAGAGAAAGCAGTGTTAATGTTTTGGGTCCAGTGACCCTTCATCAGAGCAGTTTTCCACATGTCCTGCGAATCAGTACAGCCATTATCCTGCAGCAGACAGCAACAGATTTCCAGCCTCTCTAATATTTTGTTTTTCAATATCATGCAGGATAGCTTTCTTGAACCCAATTGCAGCATGAGGTTTGCAAAGCAAGCAAATGGTTTGAGGCCCTCTCTGTCCAATCTTAACCCGTGGACCTACAAGATTCCCAATGCATGTATTGACCAGTAAAACTGGAAGTGTTCCCCAGTGAATTCATATGGCGATATCTCAACATGCTTCTTGCCTTGACCAATCAGCACCTTTTTTATCTTGTGTTGTGAGATGAGTTCTTTTGAAATTTAATTTATTTTCTGACCTGATGAGTGAAAAATGAAAAACTTTGCCGGTGTGTCTCTTCAGTTGAAAACTTGGGTCTTGCTGATAATCAGTTAAACTGATAGTGAACTTGAAGTTTGAGACTTATGGGGGATATTTAAAACCATGGAAGAGAGGATTTAGTTAAAACTAGCAATAGTTGGTATCAAATGCCCATGAATAGATATCCACAATGAGTTGCTACCTAAAATGCTGCTTTTATTCATTTGGGAGATTAGGGCCTTGCTGACTAAACCAGCATTAATTGCACATTCCTAACTGCTCTGGAGAAGATGCCTGAAATGCATTGTCAGGGCAGGTTGTACAAGCAGATACAATAGCAAGGTTTAAGAGGCATTTAGACAGTTGTGAGCAGGCAGGGTATAGAGGGATATGGACCATGTGCAGGCAGATGTGATTATTTATGCCTATATTAGTATTAATTACAGGCATGATGAGTAAAAGGCCTGTTCCTGTGATGGAATATACATCTGTGTTGTGGTGATGGATGCAGACTCGATCGTAATCTTCAAAAGTATACTAAATACATAAGTGAAACAAATAATAGAAATGAAAGAAATGGGCTGCAAGAAGGATCAATTGTATTGAAAGAGCTGGCAAAGACGGAGACAAGTGGCCTTTTTTTTTGTTGTACTGTATAATTTTATTAATTAGTATCAATGTTATAATAGGACAGATTCCTCTGTCTTCAGTTTGTTCAGTCTGAGATATATCAAGTAACCCTTCCATACGCTATTTCACACTTTCACTCATTAGCATTCTCCCTCAAGATATAAATCCATAAAGTAAATTATTTAGTTTTAAGAAATCAACAGATTTAATTGTAAGGACAAATGGCAGAGTAAGACAATGATGGACAGTCTGCATTCATGCTCTGTTATTGTATTCAGATAATAAAGGGGGCCTGCAGGTAAAGCAGTGTAATAACATGCCTATCTAATGAGGGAAACTGCTATAGGCATGGGTACGGGAGCACCAATAAGCATACCATTCAAGGACCCATAGTTAACGAAGGAACAATTACTATATATATTTGCTGAAAGAGTCATACAGTATGGAAACAGGCCTTCGGTCCAACTAGTCTACGCTGACCATGTTCCCAAACCAAACTAGTTCCACGTATAGCAACATAACCCAGTTCAAAATGGGGATTGCCAGGGAATTGTCTTTGTTATACTAAACTAACCTAGCTTTGTGATCATCATCTTTCCTAGCCCTCATACTGAGAAGTTTACAGAATGGTTACAGTGGAGAAACAGGGCATTTGGTCCATTTGTCTGCACTGCTCCCCAAATGAGCAATACATTACTGCCATTTCCCTGCCTTCATTTTATAACTTTGTGCATCTTTTCAGGTAACACTCAAGTTTCCTTTGAAAACCCTCAATCCACACCTTGGAGAGTCGCTGAGTGAAAAAAGCTTTGACACTTTTGCTTCTGCCAATTGTCTTAAATCTGTACTCTCTAGTTCTTGATCCTTTCACAGTTTCTCCCTATTTACTTTGTGAAGACCACTCATAACTGAATTAAATCTCCACTCAGCCAATTTCATATCCATGTTGCTACTCCCCTTTTTATTCCATGGACTTGCTCATGTTTCTGTTGTGCAACATACTTCCAGAAGGAACCCAATACTGTGTTGTAGATCTAGCAGGATTGCTGCAGGCAGTGTTGCAAGTGAGGTGCCAGATTTGCTGAGTCCTGACCTTTCCCATGCATTTTTGCAGAATGCTGTCAGGAGTAGAATTTAGGCCCATGGCCAAAAGGATGCTGTTATAAGCTATAGTGACAGGATTTGGAGGAGTGAGTGTTGCTGTAATGATTGCAGACTGACTCTTAGGCTTGAAATTTTATCACCCTCAGCTAAGGATTTATCACGTTTGCATGGAGA